TCATCTGCAAAAATATGCAGTAACATTAAAAAAAATAAATCCAAAATAAGAAAGCCCTTGAAATCCCAATTTCAAATCTTAAGTATTTCTCTTTAACATTTGATATTCATTACTAAAAAAGCTAAAAAAAAATAAAAATTAAGACGATGAATAGGCAGAAGTGGAATATACTATTCATAGGTATGTTTTCATTAGTGTATAATCACCTTAATATACTAATACATAATATACAACTAAGTCTTCAGTCTTGTAAGAGTACCAAGGAGAAAAACAAAGTAAATACAGTCTCAAAGTGAAAAATGTTGATCCCACCACTCATACTTCAGACTGTTAAAAGTATCATTATATGGAGCTTACAGTATGTCATTACAATGTGATTGGAGTGTCTTGTTATGAGATATTTTCATTACTTGATGCTTTGTTGAAATTTCCCTCAACCCGACTCGTCCTCGATTGCTTGGTAATTGCCCAGGATGACTTTTGACAACAGTTTCAAAAGGGGCTGTGAATTGGCTTCATATCAGAAATGTATTTTCCTTGGTAACTTTATGTGGTACAATGGTGGGTCTGGAATGAAGATTTCTATTCTGTAGCCACAGTTGAGCAAGAATTTAATCTCCCCCAAGAGCTTACTCTCAGCTTTTCTTATGACTTCAGAAGAATGGGAGGTAGAGTGCTCAAAAATCAGTCAGCCGCATCTCAATCGTATGTTCCACATATTCTCTATAATAGGCCTCTGTTGGTCATTAACCCCAGGTAATCAGCTGTACCATCCCAGCTAAAAATCCGCCTGCTTACTGCAAACTATTTTCCAGTTGAAATGTCTTAGTTTGGCTGTAATGGGCTCCTCCTCATTTTATGGCCTCTTATGTTCTTCAGCACATTGCCCTTTTCACACGCAATTACCTCCTCAGCTCTGTTTCAGGCTCATTAGAAGGACTTGCAGGCTTATCCTTCCCTAAAAGCAGAGGCTTCAGGGGATATGACAAGTTCTTCTGCTTCTGGAAGAGGATCATTTAGCTCATCTAAAACTGTAAACTGTAAAGCCATTGAATTTCAAAGAGGGAAGTCAAAGTGAGCATATGTTTTGTTATGGTAGACCTGTGTTGCAATAGACAGGGTCACTAAAGGCAGAGAAATGTGAGATTGAAGTTATTATATCAACTTTTAGTTTCTTAATTTGGCTACTGACACTGTATTGTTTTAACACTCAGGATTTCAGCTGCACATCCCTACGTATTTTAAATCATCTGGGCATAGTCCGCCAATGATGAGCTTAAAGACTGTGGTGTGATGGGGGCTATTATAAAATTCTGTAAAAGTTTGACCCCCACAACAACCATGCAACCTTTCAAGGTGTTTACTATGCTTTGACATCTACTTCATTGTATGTTTCTGAGAATAAAAGAGGGCCAGCTGATTATTATCTAATGTAAGCCCATGTAGCAGAGGCTCAACTGCACTGCTTTAGAAACATTTAGACCTCGATAACCTTCAGAGCAGGGCATACAACTCTATAGTCAGCAAATAGTTCCAGCCACTCATTATAATCACATTGCCTCATGGCAAGGTCACCTATACCTTGTTAGATATAACTGACCATTTGATGTTAGCGGTTGTTGGCCCATTTTCTAGTAAATTGTGTGGTTTGCTTTCAAATGTCAGGCTCCCTATGATGTAATAGTAAGTTGTATTTTGTATAATTTGGAGTAAATCTTAACATGCTCCTAGAATTGTTTTATTAAAATTGAACGAAACAGTAAATTTAACATCAAAAGCTAAATTCCTCATAGTCACATGGCATTCTTTGAGGAAATGTTTTCAATGTGCAGAGAGTTTGAAGTGGTCGGGCAGTTCATATGGTTGTTGTTGAAGTTCCAAGAAGTGAAATAGGACATTTTGATGGATGCACTGTAGAGTCAGACAGATAGTTTTGAATGCACAGCTGCCAACACACTAAACTAGTTCTATAAGGAGAGGTACATTGGAATGATATTTATGGCGGTGTGAATGAAAAGAGTTGCATTTCTACAGAAGATCATTTGTAAGATATGGTGGTGTCAGAATTGTGAATGTTGGAACTTTGACAACGTGGGAAAGTGGAAGTGAAGGAGACGATAACAGAAACTGTGAAAAGTGAAAGAAATGATCCTCCTTTTTTAACTTTTTCCAAAACTTCATGATGATGTAATGGTTATTAGACTCATCTACAAGAACTATTCAGAATATACCAAAACCTCAGAACACTTACTGTACATCAGTGCCTCCTATACTTTTTGGCTTATGACCCTTAAAATAAGCATCGTCTGATGACCCATCATCACAGGTTCTGCCTTAGTGTGAACATGAGCTGTGAGCAGCAAAGAGCAGCATAGTTTTTGCTGTGTAGAAGGACGTTGTACTCATCTTAACCTAATCAGTGCACAGGCAACAGAGGAACAATGAGTGGTATTAAGTACAGTTGAGTCTGATGATAATAATTAGATAAATTCCCATACATCTTAATAGCATGGCCAAATGGAAAAAGAGGATGAAGCTGAGAACTGCTCCTTGTGGGATCCCGCATGGTGACAGAAATAAGTTCTGAACCTGATACATGAGAGACATTAAATTGAAACCAGTTTGGGGTTGACCAGAAAGTCCAGATCTGACACTGGAGTTTAACTAATAAGTACTTTCCTACATAACTGATGCAAAACTGTTAAACTGAAAGCATTTGGAAGATTCACAGCATGAGAATTGAACTGCTTGCATATTGGTTGTTGATAGGATGCATCGACAATACTTCATTTTCCATTAATTTAATGTTTTCATAGCTACATATAAAAACAAAAAAACAGTGTAGTGGACTGGATGATTTCAACTGTGTCTCATTTTTCTTGCCCTTTCAGACCTTTACAATCACAGAGACACAGGGAAATATAGAGTGGACTAAAATAGACCAGTCACTCAAATCTGGATAAATAATAAAGACATCATACTGCTTGCTTCATGTGGAGACGAGAATAGCTTTGCGATGCAACATCACAGGAAAGGACTTAACAAAAGCTAACCGTACATAACACTTCAGAGTGGGATGAAATATTTAGCAACACAACTCTTTTGGCTTCTCTGCAGCTTTCAGTTGCTTAGGTAGCATGTTGGTGTTCATCAGCACCAGACATCTGTTTGCCCGTTGATTTATGTCAGGTTTGATTTTTTGATTGTCAACTTGACCAATCACAAATGCATTTAATGTTGGTTTAAATTCTGTCCTTTCTGATACAGTTGCTTATTTATCATTTCCCTTCTACCGCATCAGAAGGCCCATATCTGATGTAATCGAGTCATCTCTCTCTGTGTGTGTGTGTGTGTGTGTGTGTGTGTGTGTGTGTGTGTGTGTGTGTGTGTGTGTGTGTGTGTGTGTGTGTGTGTTTCTCCATATAGCCCTGAGCTAAATCTGATAAAGCAAAGTTATGTTACCCTCATTCAGTCTCTTCATTCACTATTCTCACTGTCTGGCATAACTTCATAACATTTTTTTCTTTCACAGATGACTCCTCCAAAGGGATTTATGTAAGTTGCCGTGTATGGAGTATTCTCAGTTTAGATCCCATCTGATTATATATAAACGCATATTTTATTTCACTTGAAACGAGATTCTCTTGTCTGTGTCACGTGAATTCAACAGGAACCTACTGTGTTATTCAATACAGCAGTTTGACTGAGGGGAGAAGCACAGCTGAGAACATTTTAAGAAGTGAAACAAATGAATCTTTTTCTGTAGTCTTGTTTTATCCAATACATAAGTGCCCTCTTGTGGAAGAAATTAATATCTCTACATCTCCACATTGCTGAGTTTCTTTTTTGCAGAGATAAAAAAGTTGATTTACAACAAACAACAATAACTACGACTCTCTAAATAAACTCTCTACGACACACTGGCCCAGCAGAGGAGCACCTTCAGCAGAAGACTCCTCTCACCCAGATGCACTACAGAGTGCCACAGGAAATCATTCCTGCCTGTGGTCATCAATCTCTACAACGCCTCCCTCAGAGAGTCAGTCCGTTTTAAGGGCAAAATGGTCAGACTGTGAGTGTCTGTAGGTTTCATGACAATCTCTCAAATGGAAATACAAACAAAGTGTATCATTGTGCAGATGCTTTGGCCTGAGAGTCTAATAGAAATATATTGAAGAACTACTAGGCCACAATATGACCAACTAACATGATTAAAACCCAGATTGATATACTGTGAACTCTATTAGTGTTAGGACTGTGTTATTTTTTTTATTGTTTCGGCTCTGTTCAGTAACTACAAGGTTGAAGTGCTGGCTTTGAGTTTTATAGCAGACTGGGGATATAGGGTATATGTAAAAACCCTAAAATTAAAGTTGGCACTTACAAGTATTGTTTATCTGCGTCTGAGTCATTATTTTGCTTTAACATATTTTAAAGGCAAATAGTTTCTACTTAGATACATTTTAGTTTTTCATTCTGTTATTATCTCGCACACACACATACACAAACTCACAGACGTGTTCACTCAGAGGAGGTTAATGAATTTGGCCCACTGCTCTGTTCCTGTATTACTGTCTAATAAACGGCCTAATTAATGCATTTAACCTTTAGTTATCAGGCAGACTATCCTACCAAAACCCAAATCCCAGTCCCAAATCCCCACTCAGTGTTTTCCACTCTGCTACTTCACAAATGACCTTGTGGAAATAGTGCAGTAGTTTCTGTTTTTAGCAAGTAACATCATAAGATTGTTACTTTAATAAAAAAAAATTAAGTTGTAGTACTTAACAGATGAAACAAACCCATACATTTTAACCAGTATACTAGGAAGTTGTCTAAATTACAGGTACATGTTTGCCAATTCTAGACTGTGTTAGGTAAAGTTTCTTCTTGTTTTCGTGAATGAAAGAGAGAATCAAGTCTCTTGGATTTCTGGCTCCCCCTGCTGTAAGAGTGTATCTACAAGTGCTTGATTTCAGTCATAACAAGACAAACAGATGTCCAGGAAAAAGGATGTTTAATCATTGTACTGTGTGTTATCTTTTTAACACATTATTATGCATTTCAGAAATCCTTTACAGCAAAAGAATTTGCAGATGAGACATTTCTAGTGTATGTACAACTTGCCAAAGCATGTCATCAGTAGCATGATAATATTAGTAATGTATAGCATTAGTTAATGAATATTTTATTACATTTTTTTTATTAAAGTTGCTATTACTGTGGGGTTTGTATTGAGCACTCACTGTATATTACACTGTGGTGAACTTAAAAATTCTTATATGTTTTGTGTGAAATTACTCTCGCTGCCAGAGGGGGAGACAAACATTCTGTATTGCTGGTTGAAGGTCAGGGTGCTTTGACAGGTGATGTGGTTGCTAATCTGCTCATTTACCATCACTGACATCAAACAAGTGGACGCTTTCTAAAGTGCTGTTGTTATTTAAAGTCCATGAGTCTCTGCCTCAAGTAGTGGCCTGAGGGTGACCTCTCTCCTGTAGGAGAAGTGGGTGAGTTTGACTCTGTAGTACATCCTCTCCCTGTGCTGCAGCAGGCGGTAAAGAGACAGGGTGAACTTAGCCAGTGCCAGTGTGCAGGTGATCTCCACCACCAGCAGTGAGGTGTAGATCATCATCTGATATTTGCACCGCTGAAGTTTGTTTTTGTAGGAAGATGATCGCTCCTGAGTGGCTGGCTCCTTGGGATGAACGATGAAGATCATTGGAGTGGTTTGTGGAGGAGGTGTCCTAGTTGTTGTAGGTGGAGTTGTTGTCATGGGCATAGGCGTACTTCTTGTTGTGGTGGTGGTCATGGGTAGAGATGTTGTTATAGTGGTGGTAGGTGAAATTGTTGTTATGGTGGTTGTAGGCGCAGTTGTTGCAATAATGGTTGTAGGTGTAGTTGTTGTTATAGTTGTCGTGGGTACAGTTGTTGTTATAGTGGTCGTGGGTGCAGTTGTTGCTATTGTTGTTGTGGGTGCAGTTGTTGTTATAGTGGTCGTGGGTGCCGTTGTTGTTATAGTTGTGGTGAGTGCCGTTGTTGTTATAGTGGTCGTGGGTGCAGTTGTTGCTATAGTTGTTGTGGGTGCCGTTTTTGTTATAGTTGTGGTGGGTGCTGTTGTTGTTATAGTTGTGGTGGGTGCTGTTGTTGCTATAGTTGTTGTGGGTGCAGTTGTTGCTATAGTTATGGTGGGTGTAGTCGTTATAGTTGTTGTGGGTACAGTTGTTGCTATAGTTGTGGTGGGTGCTGGTGTTGCTATAGTTGTTGTGGGTGCAGTTGTTGCTATAGTTGTGGTGGGTGTAGTCGTTATAGTTGTCGTGGGTACAGTTGTTGCTATAGTTGTGGTGGGAGCTGTTGTTGTTATAGTGGTCGTGGGTACAGTTGTTATTATTGTTGTTGTGGGTGTGGTTGTTGGCAAAGCAGTGGTTGTTGGTATTATTGTGGTGGTGGTTGGCAAAGTGGTTGTTGGTGTTGTTGTAGTAAGTATTGTGGTTAGCAAAGTAGTTGTTGGTGTTGTGGTAGTAAGTATGGTGGTTGTTGGTTCTGTAGTTGGGAGTGTCGTTGTAGTTGTGGTGGTGAGAGTGGTTGTGGAGGGAAGGGTGGGGCATATAAATTGATCCTCTGTTAATGATTGGATTTCCTTCCCTTTTAGATCTTCTGGATACTCACAAACCACAGGATTCATAATCTTGACAGAGGTCGCCTTCAACCAGAGGTGAAGATGTATCAGATTGCAGTCACAGTGCCATGGGTTGTCACTGAGGTAAAGTTTTTGGAGTTTTACTAAATGCTGAAAAATATCTTCAGGAAGCGTCTGGAGGTTGTTGTGAGCTAGCTTGAGTGTGGTCAGTGATGGCAGCTTTGCAAACACATTTACATCCAGCGAATTTATCTTGTTGTTCAGTAGATTCAGCTCTGTGAGCTTCTCAAGGCCTTCAAAGTACTCAGCATGCATGGTGACAAAGTGATTTTTAGAAAGATCTAGCTTCTTGAGTTTCTTCAGAGGGCTGACTATTCCTTCAGGAAGAGTGTTGAGATTGTTTTGACTGAGACTTAACTCAGTCAATTTAGGCAATGCTCCAAAAAGCCCTGGTGGTAGAGTGCTCAGTTTATTCTTATGTAGCGTCAGTGAACTAAGCTGAGGGAACCCAACAAAAAATTCTTGAGGTAAACTAGTCAGAAGATTACTTTCCAAATAAAGCTTCTTTAGTTTGTCTTTATGTGGTAATAGATTTGGTGGTAATTCTGCTATTTTGTTTCCTTGCAAGCCAATTTCCTTCAAATTTGGCAAATTCTGAAAAATATCTTCAGGAATTGTGATTAGCTGATTCTCGTAAAGTCGTAATATCTCCAGTTTGTTTAGCTTTGAGAACCAGTTGGTATATACAGCAGAGAGTTTGTTTTTACCTAAATGGAGGAGTACAAGGTTCTCAACACCATCAAAGGACCCGTCTTCAATCAATTCAATCTCATTCCCATTTAACTGGAGCTCTCTTACTTTTTCAAGGCCGTCAAATAAGCCTTTCTCTAGACTGCGGAGCTTGTTTAGCTTTAGTCGAAGCCTCTCCAAGTTGCTTAGGTCTTTAAATGCTCCCACTGGGATTGATGTTAGTGGATTGTTGGAGATCTCAATATCCTTGAGGTCTACCAAACCTTCAAAAGCTCCCGGCTCAATAGATGTCGTATTAGTGTTCAAGAATTCCACCTTTTCAAGCTGGGGGTTTTCAAGAAAGGCTGCTTTAGGGATTGTTTTAATTTGGCTATCCAGAAAGAAAACCTCTGTCACACCTGGTCTCAGGGTTTGTGGGATTTCTGTGGCAGACCGGAAAACAATCTGGTTCTGGCAGTCTGTCTCTGTTTCGCATTGTTTGCTTTGAGTCGATGAAGATTCAAACAGTAAACACAGAAAAAGAAAGATGATTTCTCCTCTTGACATGTTTATTCACTAAAAAAGAAAAAAAAGGCAACAATGTATAATTTATAAAATTTTGTAGATTTAATTTTAACCCTATGTTGTTGTTTTTTGCAATAATGATCAAGTACCAGTGACATCATACAAAGTTATCATTAAATCTATGTGCTGTTACAGTCAAATTTAAAAAACAAATTTGCCTACCTTCTTATTTCTTGTCCCAGTATGAAAAAGGTTGTTGCAGCAATGAGGAGACACAAACAAGCTGAGTCTCATTAGTTATCTTATGTATCAATGTTGGCCAGCTGGCTTTGTGTGTGTTGCATCGCATGTGGGTGTGGTATAACTCACTTCTGCAGCTTGAGATAAGAGGAAGGACCGACGTTTTGTTTTAAATTTCAGCCACTTACTGCATTGCTCGTGAGATTACCAAACTGATATATTTTTCTTTTTTCTGATTATCACTGACATTTTAACAGAATTCACAACTCTTTGTTTTCAATATTCTAAATTAACATCATTTTAAAGTATATTTTTGGGGGCTTTTATTATAGTGACAGCTGAAGGCAGACAGGAAAGGGGGGCAGAGAGAGAGGGGATGACACGCAGCAAAGGGCCGCAGGTCAGATTCGAGCCCTGGGCCGCTGCAGCAAGGACTCAGTCACGGTACATGGGTCGCCGCTATCCAGGCGCCCTAATTAACATCATTTTAAAAGCAATGTCTGTTATCAATACCTACGAATACACTGAATTTTAATTTGAAATTTTATGGATGATCACCACTGACTCTGCTGTACCTAACATCCAATGTGTTAGGTATGTTAGGTTCTCCACCTTGGACAGTAATGTAAACAACAGATGTTATTTTAAAGGCTTGAAAATTCATAATTTATGCACATACTCTAAATGTTAACATGCTCTATGGTATGTAAACATTTTGTCATTTTGAAAATGTACATGTTTCTACAACTAGAAAAGCCGTTTGACCTCTATCTCCAGTTTGTTGATAATGTTTTCTTTCTCACTAGAACTTTGTTATTGTTAGGGAACAATTAGACATGCATTACAACATACATGATTCATTTGTTTTGTCTGGTATCTGTAATTGCAGTACAAGGGTGGGATTTTTGGATTTTTGCCAAAGGTTTCAAACATTATTCTGTATTCCTTCCATTAGATGGCAGTCTTTTATACTGTATATAACTAATTTAACCAAGAGGTGTAGTAGACATAGGTTAGATAAATGGCTGAAGTTCCTACCAGTGGTAAATATACATCATCACTCCATTAATCTGTGTTTATAACAAAGAATAAAGTTTTGCCTCACAAAAATACCGATTGCTGTGAATGCAAACCCAAACATTTGTGGTTCAGTATCATGCTGTTCCGTCTTCACAATGACCACTTTTAAATCTACTCAGTGGTTTTGTTCTTCTGTAAAATCCATTAACTGAATTGGCAAAATCAACGTAATCAGAAACATACTGGTGATTAAACATTATGTCTATTCCCTATTGGCTATTTAGTAATCACAGGAGGAACATCACAGGCCAAAACATGCTGTAAAGATATCAAAATCTCAATACTTTTAGATTTGTTGATGTATTTTTTTTTCATGTACACGTCTAATGATACCTTCTATTTTTATTACTTCACATTTATTTGTGGGTAAACAAGCATTTAAGTGAAGTTATATGCTCCTCTACATATGATAGCCAAGATAACTTGCTATCACATTCAAGTAGATGGAGGTTTGCATGTAATACCACTTTGTTCTGTAAGTGAGTCATACAATGAAAGATTGCTCCCACTAAAAGTAGTGCCTTTATTGAATGAGTAGTAGCATTTTGAGTTGTAAATGTGGAAACCATAGGATGAACTGTGTTACAGTGGAGTCACAATGCTGTGTTTTCATGGATAGCCATTTCACAAAAAAAGTAATACCATCTCTTAAATGTATTGATGTTAGCGCAAAAAGCGATTGTCATACTGAAATTATTAGTACTGAACAATGGAAAATAATTTGAAGAAAATACTGAATGCAGTCTTAACTTTACTAGAAAACTGTGAAACACTGTTTCAGTGTATCTGAGGTTACATTCACAAAAATGTCCAGGTTCTCCACAAGATGGCAAGGTGGGTGTTTTTACAGTTAATACATATGATGTCTGTTTTTACTGCACATAGGAAATGAATACCGTCTGCTCAATGTCATCATTGAATTTGAAAGCTAATGATTTTCAAAAGTTTACTTGTTTGTTCTAGCCGGTACATCTGAATGGAGCTGGAGTGGTTATTTCTGTTGCCTTTGAGGCTCTAAAATCAACTCTAGGCTCCACATTTTCCAAGTAAACCACAGTAATCAGTGAGCAGTTTCACTTGGCTTTAAAGTTCTTGGGTTGCTGGGATGTTGGGTGGTCGAGTCTACAGCACAGAGTTCTTGTTTCTGCTGCGTATGTTTCCTCTGCCTCTCTTGTTTCTCCTCCAGCACACGCAGCCAATGATGACAGTGCTGATGATGACAGTGGACACTACTGCGATGATGATGAGGATGATTGAAGTGTTATTGGCAACCGTTTCCTTCTCCCCTTGTCCACCGCTGGTGACCTCCTCATGCTTTGTGGTGGGGGTGGTCTTGACAGCAGGTGAGGGAGTGCTGCGTCTGGTTGGAGGGGTATGGGGTTTTCTCCTCTTCTCCGTCGAGGTCAACACAGGCTCCTCAGTGGAGCTGAGAGGCATCAAGTTCTCATCTGTCAGCAGAGCAATTACCTCACCATTCAGACTGAAAGGTGTTTCACAGACCACAAGTGTTTGGTTAGCCTTGGTTGGATTCTTTGTCAGCCAGTCCCTAAGTGGCAGAATATCCTTGTCACACTTCCAGGGATTCTGCTGCAGGAGTACTTCAGTAGCTACAGTGAGGTCATCAAGACTCTCCTGTGGCAGGTTGGGAAAGGAGTTATTTCGCAGGTCAATCTGTCCAAGGCGGCCCACGCCCTGGAAAAAACCTGAAGGGAGGGAGCTGATGAAATTGTTCTCCAAGGAAATGTTGACCAGATTGGGCAGACCTTGGAAAGTCCCAGCTTGCAGGGTTGTGAGCTTATTCGTGTGAAGTGATACCTCTCCAAGTTGCTCCAGTCCTGTAAAGGCCCTGGTGGATACAAAGCTAATCTGGTTGCGACTGAGCACCAGGAGACGCAACTGAGTCAGGTTCTTGAATGTGTCATCTTCCACACGGTTTAGCTTGTTGTCATATAGCCACAACTCCTGCAGGGCAAGAGGCCCAAACACCCCTGGTGCCAGACTTTCCAGCTGGTTTTCATACAGGGAGATCTGTGAAAGTGAGGGTAGGTTTAAGAAGATCCCCTGTGGAAGAGATGTGAGCCTGTTGTGTGAGAGGAACAGCTTCTGGAGTTTCAAAGTCTTGGAGAACAGGTCATGGGGGAGATGAGTGATTAGATTGTCATGTAGGGAAAGTTCCTCCAGGTTTCCAAGGTCATCCAAACTGCCAGGAGGAAGTTGGTGTAGTGAGTTTTTGTTAAGCCGCAAGGTTTTCAGCTGAGAAAGACCCTTGAATGTTTCTTTAGATAGTTGACTGATGTTGTTTCCAGAGAGATAAAGGACCTGCAGCTCAGCAAGAGGGTGAAATGTTTCCACAGGTACAGAAGTAAAAAGGTTCTTACTGAGGTCAAGGAGTTTCAGATCTCTCAGCACAGAAAACCAGTTAGGACGGAGGACCAGGAGTTTGTTGCTCTTCAGATTCAGAGACTTAAGGGCCGGAAGATTTTGGAACAAGGACTCAGGGAGATCTTGTAGTTCGGTGCCAGTGAACCCTAAGGCACCCATGTTTGGAGTGGAATCAAATGTACCAAGGTGCACTTCCCTCAGAACAGTGTCTTTAATCAAAAATATGCTAAGGGTATTAGAGAAATCAGTCAAGTCCTCTGGTTTTAGAGAGTAGAAAGTGCAATTGGAGAAGTAAATGCTTGTGGTTGATGGGGTCACAGTTGTGGGGAAGTCTGAGAGGCCACTGCAGAGCATTGATAGTCCTTGACATTTGCATCCATCCGGACACGCCCAAACGACAGCATTGAGGGAACAGAGAAGTAGAAGCACATGAATGGTCAGGGACAGATCCATTGTTTCCCTAGAACAGAAGAAATGGCTATGTTACAGACAAGGTTGGTTATGAATCTTGTATCATGTTTACATTGATAGTTAAGGGCTTTGTGAACATTATGTACAATATAGCCATTTTTGTCCTTAAAAGTCCAATGTATATTATTCATAGGTACGTTTTCATTAGTGTATAAACACCTGAAAATAAGAATCTTTGTGGGGTTTTATTTTTACTTTAGAACAAGCTATTTTTATGTACATGGGGAGCTGGTCCACCGTGTTTAATTGCAATGTTTCTACAGTAGCCCAGAATGTACAAACCAATTACGGGCTCTAGATAGGAACTTTTCGCGGCTTGGAAGGCTGAGCTGAATTCAAATAGTTGCAATCTCCAACCTTCCCACTAGATGTCAGTTAATCATACACATTCCAGTTTTACAAAGATGCATTGCACAAATGTTAAAGCTGTTAAACTAGACACTGGGAGTTTTTAATGTCCTCTGGCTTTAGAGGAGTTGAGTCAAGTTCAAGAACTCAAAGACTCAACTTTTATTACCTGGAGGCTGCACAATTTGAATAGAAAGTCAGCGTTGCAAATGGTGCTGTCCAAAATACCACCAAGATGGCGGAAACACAAAATGATAGAGATAAAACACTGAAATATACCACAAAACATAAATGTTTGTGTTTCTAAACTCCTATTTAATTAGAAATTATTGTTGGCTTCATATTACAATAAGGTCTACTCTTGCAAATGGGGAAAATAAACTGCTCCACTGTAAACATTATAAAATTATAAACTTTTTATTAAATTATTAAAGCATTAATATTAAGGGGTACATTTTTGCATTTTTGTTTTTTTACTTGCACTACTCTCTGAGATTTAATGTACAATTGTTGTTAGCTTCCAGAGACTTTTGCCTGTTTTTCATTCTCTCGCAGAGAAAACAACCACCAAGGGGATTCTCTGCACTTCAAATAACCACCATAATAAGGCAGTTATACTGAAGGCTACGCTAATTAGTAACAGTCTCCATGTGTTGCAGCCTCAGCATTCTTGTTTTAACCAAAAAGGATACATTTGCATAAATTGATTCAGTGTTGTACTTTGTTGCCTGTCAGCATTGTAACCAGCATTGGCTGGTGAATCACTATGCTTATGCTGTATTTTGGCATTAAACCCATTTATTCAAGATTTGTCTTCAACAGCAATTTCGGACCTCACATGTTGAATTCAAATAAATTTTGTTTGTATAGTGCCAAATCATAACAAAAGTTTTCTCAGGACACTTTTCAAATAGAGCAGGTCTAGACCTTATAGTTCTTAGAATGTGTGAATTCCCAAACTGCAGAGTATATCCTCACTGAATATGGACATGGTCTTGCACAAGCAAAATTATTTCTGCGTTGGTTCTAAAATACATCTCAACATATGACTGCCTGCACATGTTCGAGGCTGTGGCTTAGGCTGTGCTCCCTGTTTGTAATGGCACAGGAGGCTCCAAACACAAAGCTGTGCCAACATAATGACCTGCTTCTCCATGCAAATCCATTTAAAGTTCTGCAACTTAAGATTGGCAAGCATGAGTTGTTTCTCTGTGGCTGTGTATTAGGGTGCAGAAAGAGTCCTTCTGAGGAAGTAACTTTCTAAAGAGACCAGTATGTCCCTCAGATGAGCTCAGCCACAGATTTATTTTCTTTCTTTCTTTCTTTCTTTCTTTCTTTCTTTCTTTCTTTCTTTCTTGTTCACATCAAAGACAGAGGGTCATAGAATACATCCTGGTGCATCCCAGCTGTTCCTATTTTTGATACATTTTGTACTCATGGTGCTGGATCCCTGCTGTGAGAGGGAAAACAATGTTTTCATTGTTAGTAAAATGTTACTGTACTATTTTAAAATGAGTACTTTTTATTCTATTACTATCAATAACCCTAACCCTTAGTCTTATTACTTAGAACTCTCCTTCTTATTTGTTCAAATTAGGCAAACGGGGGAACATTGTTGGGCAACACTGGCTTCATTACCACTTCCCTTTTCTTTACTGCTGTGAATGGAAGGTGTTCACATTTAACTCAGAGACGTGTTTCTTACGTAACTACCAGGTTCACCTTCTTTTGTTTGTGTTGCAATGGGAAACATTTTAAAAAACAATGTCAGGAACAATGGATTTACAGTAAGCGGCTTTTGTAGTTTTCAAGCTGCATTTTGATAGAAAATCACTGAGAACTGTTCTGCCTGTATGCCTGTTGTGACTCAAGTATGAATTTAATAATGTTCACTTAAACCATGTTTCCTCTCTGGTATATATTACATCATCCCTGTCCAACCAAAACCACTGTCTGCTCTCTACTGGGATGACTTGGAATGGTCTGCAGTATAGTATAATGTCTAAAGCATTTCCAGTTCACCATTAATTGCTTTGATTTTTTTCCCCCCTTTGCCATAGCTGAAAGATCAGCACTTTCTCTGTCATGAAAATACTGTGCTTGCAAAGTGGGGAACTGAATTCCCACAAACCAGTAGTCAAGCCACATAAGTTAATTTATGTTTTATATAAAAGGATTTTGATTACCAGTCTCAAACTTTCCAAAATAAGACACATTTCAGGCGGAAAATTTCACTTATTCACTGAATAAGAGTCCTATAGGCACGGGTTGAATTAAGTACAGAGGTTTATATAAATATAGACGTGGCATATGAACATATTGCTACTCTATAACTGCCCTTATCTTATTAGTTCTGATAATTTAACCATGACATCTATTTGTCACATCATACATCAGAATCAGATCAGAATCAGAAATACTTTAATAATCCCCGTGGGGAAATTACTTACTTACATCATCATCATCGTATATTAGAAGTAAAAAGCACTCTGTTAAACAAGAGTGAATGTTGTTTTGCAGAACTTACCTCCCGATGTGGCTGACGATTGAGTGAATAGAGACAGTGGGTTGGTGTGGTTATCTTTTATGTACGTCCTCCCTTCCTCCTCGGCTTTACAAATCCTGTGATGAATGTTTCCAGAACTGTCAGAACTCTCACACCATCACATTTTCCTGCTCTTCGTCATCACTTGATTCCCATCACCAATGTTTTCTTTTTAATTTCTGCCTTGAGCTCATGAAATCTGTAGGTCCTTTTCCTAAAAGCTGTAGAGGCACTATTCAGTGTCCCAGCTGTCCCCCTGCCCCCATCTGTTCCTCTAACACACTCACGCTCACATTTTTTAGCTACATGTGGTGGTTGGGGATCACATAATGGGAAGCCCCACCTTCTGGTGATTTGTGTTTATAGGAGTGTCTGTGCTTGTTTGAATTCATGTAAAGGGATGTGTGAGCTGTGCTTCATCTTAGGGGATCAATATGTTTTCATCGATGTGGCTACATGTTTTTCTTGTTTACTTTTCAGGAAAAAAGACATATTTATGTTGGAGGTTAGGGTTACAACAAGGGTGAGAATTTGATTTGGTTTAAGACAATGGAGTTGGTTTTGTGTTTTTGTTTGTGACATTGTTTTTTGTGTATGTGCCTTCTTGTTTGGGTGTGCAAATTTAAGCAGCTGCACATATCTTTGGTATGACGTCCGTGGTATGCTCGTAAACCCATGGTTTGGCCACTTGGCAGTCTTCAGTGTTCACACTGTGGATTACAGATTACAAGATGATCCAAAAAACAACCGAACAAGCTGCACACGTCTCTTAAGTCTCACTTATGCTGCAGAAATAATTCATTTTGTATTCAGTATGTTTAGTGTCATATAATGAACTCCTGTGCAGGTATGTTCAGGAATATAAATAAACAGCTTTCAGTATTGTATAATTCTAATTATGTGTGATGAGGTTGCAGAAAGTTTCTGTTTATGTACATATACAGTATGTGTGTGTAAAATACTTTTCATAGAGTTTGAGTGTTTGTTTTTCTGTTAATGCAAATTCTGTGTGTTTTAGCTTTGGTGCTAAATGATGAATAAACCAGTGGAAAAAAGTTTGAGCAGGGAGTATTCTGTAGCTTTTAACATTCCTGTGTTGCTATAAGTAAATCCATCTGTTTTGAAACACAGCTAACTCCCTCCTCACCACAGAAAACAGATAACGTGGGTGGAGTGAACGTATAGACAGTCAGTTGCTGCAGTTCATATACATTTCATGCTTGAAACATGGTGTTTTTATGATATTACTGTAAAGGTACTGAAAGATATATAAGTCAGAAAGTAATAAGTGCTGCAGGTCAGACCAGTATTTTATAACTGAATTACCTCACAACAGCCACAGACCCATCTAAACTGACAGAAACATCATGATGAATCATCAAGTCTTTTTATTATTAAGCTGGAACACATGTTATAGCAAATGGAAGTACATATCCCCTCTCTATCCCATAATGTCCATAAAGTTTCCAAATGTTACCTCTGATATTTCCACAGGTGTTTGTCCACACTAGACCATAACAACACTGATAAACTGGGCATACTGGGACAGACTGGGTGACAAGAGTAGTGTTATGAGTGTGTCATTCTGTTAAGAGATGTTAGAGTGGTTCAGTTTTAAAGATATAAGTCAGTAATGTCAGATATAATGCATGATTTATGTGAGGAGATGAAGAAAGTTCTAATATAGCAGTGTACTTTATTTTTTCCCGTTTGAGAAAAAAGACAAACAAAACAAGATTGTACTCTTCTCTTTTCAAGTATAGCGGAATTTTGATTCCTAAAAAATACTTCTACTCCTTTTAGATGGAAACTAATTAGAGACCAAAGAAAAATGCATTAATGATGGTGCTGTGGCTGCCTTTGGCAAAATGTTTGGCTAAAACTATAGTTTGTTAATGTCAAAAGGCTATCTAACAGTTAATTATCAGAGGTAAGAGGATTATCGCTCCACCCTACAGCCAAGAGTCTGCTAAATCCAGACGTACAAATCTGGAAAATCCCATGTTTAAAAAAATGTTTCATGAATCTTTCCACTTGTTTTCCACTGTGGTAGAATATTTCTTATGACGCCTGCAGTATGGTTTCCTCTCCCCGCACTCTCTCACTGTGTTTGTGTGTGAGTGTGTGCCGACTGTTGTGTGAGCTCAGTGTACTGGAAAGGCCTAATCGCCCGTTGTCATAGCAATGAACTTGGGTGCTGTTCACCAATTCATCCTCTTTTGTTTGTAGAAGTCCAATCAATTCTCGTGGAATTTGTGGCATCCGCTGTCATTTTGTGAAAGTTTAAAAGATTCAAAAGCTTTTTTGACCAGCAGTTGAACATTCTCTGTGTTGATTCACCTCCAAATAATAATCTTAAATTGTTTTATGTGTCCAATGGGTAATTATCAACACAACTGGTTTCAAATCTAACTTAAGTTGTATTAGCCATTAATAATCCTCCAAAGTTCTCGTTTAAAAACATTGAAATTTGAAAAATGTTAGGACAAAATTAGAGAGCAACTATCTTCTCTCAATCCTTTTTTATATTGTCTTAAGTGACCTCTTTCATTTAAAAAAGAATGTGTGCACATTTTGTGGTTTTGTTTCACAGTGGAGGCTTACGAAACTAAAGGGACACTGTTTTGCGAAAGAGTCATCTCAAACCTTTATTTGATCCCTGACTTAGCTTCCTGTTTTGAAGGCTGTTGCGAAGATAAGGGTATAATTTCCCTAGTATCTAGGAGGTGATTCATTATTGGAATGTACAATTCCCCCTCAATTCCAAGAGGAAATCCAGATAAGAACTTTAGGAGATGAAGATTTTTACAATAGCCTCAAATATAACTGGTGCCCTGGCAAGTTTGTTTCTTAAACAACATACTTCAACTATGTGTAGACCTTGGGTTATAGGTGCATATGGACCTACAGTATATCTTATACTGTGGCTACATAAGATTTCTTACATATACTTTCATAACTGATTAAACTATAAAATATGACCAACAAACAACTGAACTCCCTTTACCAAATACCAGTGTGTGAATGTGCATGTGGGGAGAAGTAAAGAACAACAGATGTAGATATTCCTGATTATATGACCCATAAACCATTGTCATATAGGAATAACATAATTGTGACAAGTGTTAGTAAAGTGTTGGCATTTACCAACATGGTGGGGAAAAAAAGAGACATTTGCACGTAATACAATTTATTCAGAAATGTATTGATTATTACTCAAAAGTTACAGTAAACAATATTTACTTGTGATGTCTCTTCATGCAGTTTGAAGATTTCACCACTAGAGAGAAACAAATCACTTCACATTGCACTCTTCATAAGTGTTGCTGTCATAAAGGAAAAGCAGATAAATGCACAAGGACAAACACAAATTAGATATTAGTCTGTGTAAAATTTAGTATAAAACCTTAAAACAAAGGATAGATAGCGAAGGAAGATGTTTTATTTCATATGTTGTTTTTTCAAAACTTAACTCTAGGGCTGCAACTGAAAACTATTTTCATTATTGATTAATCTGCCAAATATTTCCCTGATTAAGTAATTTGGTCCATGAAATGTCAAAAAGTAGTGAAAAACACCCATCACAACCTCCCAGAGCCCAATGTGTTCAAATTGCTTGATATGTCCAACTAATGTCCCAAAACCCAAAAGACAAAGAAAAGCTGCAAATCTTCACATTTGAAAAGCAAGAGCCAAATAATGTTTGGCATTTTTGATAGAAAATGTTTTAACCATTCATTTTCTTTCAATCATTTATTGATTATTTGACTATTTAATTTATTTTGAAATTACAGCTCTACGTAAATTATTTACAATTATGAACAAACAATTTGTAACAAGGATTGACTTACATCCACATAACTGTTTTTAAGTGTATATACTATACTGCACTGTCTTATATAATATTAAATGTATTATCTTACAGTATTTTGTTGGTATCTTAAAATATAAAAATATAATTATAAATATTTTATTGAGGTTGTTTTATTTTTGCCCATTTCAAGTCTGGCTGTCCTAAAGTAACACTTGAAGAAAATATTTTATTAATTGCAACCTCTAGATAGGCACAGTTTATCTTGGTCTCTTGGGCACCAGGCCTGATAACACGTTTTATTACCCTGGAGTATGTGCAGCCTCAGCCTTTAGCTCATCCATGATCTTGTTGAGGCGATACATGCCATAAATGGTAGTAAGAATGAAGAACAAGCCTGTGGCAACAAGAAGGATGTGACAGAACATGAGGAACCCGGTCAAGGCCGTATCTGATTGCAGAAACCACACATAGACCCAGCCCTTGTGAAGGTTGTGGTGAACATACTCGGACCCCTGTTCTACTACCAATGTGTCATAGAAAGGAACTGATAAGTCATAGGTCGATTGAGTCTCAGTAAGGAGAAAAAAGTCGTTGTTTGGCGGGCTAGTGCTGGGAGTTTTGAGAGGTGTTGATGGGACTGTGGTATGTAAAACAGGTGATTTTGTCGTTGGAGTGGTTGTTGAGGTGGTGATTTGTTCAGTAACTCGTTGAGTGGTGTCGGATTTTGTTGTAGGTGGTGTGGTTGTTGAAGCAACAGTTGATGTTTTTCCGCTGGTCGAAATGGTGTAGAATGGCTTTGTTGGCTCATGCAAGTAATTCTGTGTAGTAAAAGAACTTTTGTATCTTGTAGCATTGCAAAATTTGAACTCCTCATCAGACAGAGATCCAATGGTACGGAGCAGTTGGTACAATGGACTATGACATAGCACTTCATCTCTGTCAAGAACCACATGCTCATTATGTCGTATCCATTTCGCAATACCTCTAATACCACAGGTACAGTTCCAGGGGTTGCCACTCAGAGTAAGAGCTCTCAAACCTGTATTTGACAGGAAAATATCTCCTGGGAGAGTCTTGAGGTGGTTATTCTTCAAATCAATTGTCAAAATATCTCCGAGGCCCTGAAAAATGTTTTCTGGTAGTCTCTGCAGCTTATTGTTATTAAGATGCAGTTTGTCCAGTGCAGTTAGTTTGGAGAACAACTGAGGATGTAGATAAAGGAGGTTGTTGAATTTCAATGAGAGCTTGTGAAGGTTGGGAAGGCAGCAGAAGAGGTCTGAAGGCAACTCATATAGAAATGTATTTAAATGGAAGTTAAGACTCAGGAGTCCAGACATGTTAGCAAACAAATTTCCAGGAACAGTTGTGAGGTTAGTGGCATACAGATAAAATTCTCTCATGTCTGGCATGTAACCCATTAGCTGGTCTGGTAGCAATAATAGTGGGTTGTTGTAAATGGTAAGCTTTCTCAGCTTGGGCATGTTGTAGAAGCTCTTCTCCGGGATTGCCTTAAGTTGGTTGGACGACAGGGTGAGCATCGTCAGGCTCCTCAGTGACCAGAACACCTGAGGTGGAAGACAGGAAATCTGGTTATGGTGAAGTTTAAGCTCCTCAAGGTTGATAAGTCCATCAAAGATCCCAGGTTCTAGCACCTCTAGCTCATTGTTATAGATCGGGAGCTGGCGAAGTTCAGTCAAGGAATGAAAGATGGTTGGTGGAAGCTTTTTTATGAAGTTCCTGCCAAGGTTCAGAAAGTTGAGTTTGGTCAGTCCATCGAAAACATCTGAAGAGAGATTTCTCAATTTGTTCCGGCTCAAGTCCAGATCCAGCAACCTGACAAGTCCTTCAAACATATCCTGAGCTATGATCTCCAACTGGTTACCATCTAAATGCAGCTGTTCCAGATCAGTCAGTGGACTGAAAACCTGAGCAGGAAGGATGGAGAGATCATTATATGACAGCTTAACAGACTTGAGCTGTGGAGCAACGTGGAAAGCCTGGGGATGGATAGTGTGTAGATGACTGTAAGTCAGACTGAAACGTAACAGGAGGTCCTTGTTTCCCAAGCTCTGCTCATTTATGACGTTCATGTTGGTGTCATTAAGTAGCAGCAGGTATGTGTGGACAGGCAGATGCTTTGGTATATCTGTGATTGTGTAGCCAACACACTTGACAGCACCTTCAACACACTGGCAGCTGCTGGGGCAGACCATGTTACAGGTGAGATGTGGCAGTGTGAAGAGGAGGAATGTCATCCACCAGGTGCCTGCACAGTTGAAATAAGGACACATTTTGACACAAAAGATTAGATCTGAAATTATCTCACTGATATCACCCAGTGTAATGAGCTGCCACTGTTTATCCAGAATTTTTCTATACCTTTTTCTACCCAAATTTTATCAAATCAGGATTTACTGCAAATCCAGAATTCAGTTCTTATTAGACATACTAATTCTCGAACAATAATAATAAATAAAGTCTTTCTCTTAAATAACAGTACAAAGATTAAACCTGATTTAGGGATAAAAACCAAAACAAGTTAAATATTCTACCGACCTCTGAAGTAAGAATCCATCATTGTCCGTTTGACGTTATGATCATGTTGCTGTGCTCTGCACTGTTCTTCTTTCTAGTTTTGAAGAGCTGGTCTCCCTGTCAATCAAGTGACCCTGCCCTCTGCTCCACCAAAATGCCCGCCCAAAAGTCATGCATCGCGCTGACAGTCCTTTATGTTGCCCAACCGTTGAACATTATTACCATCTCACCTACCATTGGAAATATATGACAATATTTGACCTTTATGATGACCTATTTCACTAAACCCATTTAGTGAACTTATTTTTATTTTACACTTATACAACATCTTTATGGTGGAAATTCTACATTAATATTGGACTGTAATGGTAATCGTAGTTTTTTTGTGTTTTTAGGAACAATTAACGCTGCACCAAGAGGGGATCTTTGAGTTGCCTTTTACATAGTTTCATCAGTTTTACTGTTATGTGCTATGGGTTTTTTTCCAAAGTTGTAAAACATATTGTATGCAACTTTTGTCCACACAAGAACTATTCTTGACACGATAGTGCATGTTTTACTATATGAGTGACACACAGGATGCTGGTTCATTTCCTGTGGACTTATCTTGACAGGATGGTCTGACCCCACTCCACAATTTATGGACTGAACTGAAACAGATAACACCCATTTCTGTATGAAGTCAGTTGGTGAGTTGTTGTGAGTGTTTTGTGTCAGATGTCTGTAGTGTGACAGAGCAGAGGACTAATTGTGGTAACTTCTCTGCTGATTACAATGTATTGGTAAAGAAATAAAATGAGTAAAACTATCACTTTGTTTGAATAGATTTGACAGCTAGCACTTTTTTAATGTGTCACCTCTGCATATTGTTTGTGTGTGTATAAGACAGAGAGACAAAGAAAGTGTTCTGGTAGAACTTATGATTAATTGGTGAGTCACACAGTTAAAATGAGACCCAGTCAGTGATGTCAGCTTACACCCCCTTGAATTTAGGGGCAAAAAGGAAATAAATTGTCAACTTGGCACAGTTTACCAAGTAAATTGCAATTGATTGCTGATGTCATATTTTTCTCTTTAAAGGTATAGTGTGCAACATGAGTCATTTATATCTTCAGAGGCAGCAGAGGCCGCTATGTTGAACCGCTAACCAGAACATAAAAAACCAAGGTAAAACAAGGATACAAGGAAACGTAATTGTCATTTAACAATGCAGGGTTGTATAATACAAATTAGGTTGTAGTTCCCTTTATGCTACTCTTAAAAACAAAACAATATATATACATATATATATATTTATAAAAAAATATTTAAAGTAAATTTGATTAAGTACTATTTTATGAGATGGAGTGCTGAGGAAGCTGTTCTTAAATCTGGTGGTGCAGCAGCAGAAACAGAGAGCAAAGATTAATTGTCCGTAACTTTTTCATATGACATAGTAATTATCTGATGTAGAATTTTACATTAAAATCATTTTAACATCATCTTGTAGGTATTTTTTAAATTATATCTTACTGGCTATTATTTTGAAACACACAATCTAATAATTTATGTATGCCTATATGTAATATAACCACCATAGTCAGCAGTCTGTTGCAGTATGAAACTGTTTTTTTGTATCGTTCCTTTTTATATTAAATTAACTTTTGGACATTTACTTGCTGATATAAACATAAAAAAATAAAAAATAGTCTGCCTCCTTACACAGAAGAATGTGTTATGTATGTGATATACTATTGGATATTTATGTATGGGGTAACGCCCATGTTGTGTGCATGTGGATATTTTTTGTGCAAGTACATTACTAAGCTCTGAAAACATGACTGCAAGGACTCACTGCCTCAAAGAAAAAGTATTGGTTTTGATGCTGCTGTGAATGCAGCTCAGCGTCACATTCAGCCTGGTTTCCCTGAAACCTCCTGTGTTCATTGTGCCCTCTGTATGATTCAGATCTTTTCACAACAGCTCTCCCATTATTTTGACTAAGCCTGTGACTCAGCTTTGTCACCTTGCCTCCAAAAAATCCAGTAATATTAACCTCACTCTAGAATAATTCACCCGTCACCGCTGTGCCCCGTTCCCACATTCCTTCACTTAGACGCTTAATTTCACTGTTTAAATATTTGATATTTGAAGTAAATACAACAAAAGCAGGTATGAGGGTTAAGACCAATATGTTTGTCAGTAATATTGTGTCTTTTTAAAATGAGAAGTAATGTAAAAGCAATGTTTTTTTCAAACGTTTTAAAAAAACAGTCCATTCAGTGACTCATGTTCAATTTCCCTTAAGATTTAAAAAGAACAAAAAAACAAAAAGTACAGATTCACATTATAATTTTATTTATTTAGTAAAATGAACAGATGCGATGTTGGGCAGTGGTACAAAATTTTTTTGTTGTGCCCAATTCTGCCACAAGAGAGCGACATAAACACAAGCAGCAGGCAAATAAAATCCATGCAATTATAAAGATAATAAGAATAATAATATGTCTTTGCAGTCAAGTACATTTTGTCATATCTGACCCTCAAGTATTCCCAGTGAGTAGCTGATTATTTACAGATTAAAGATATACAGCCACAGTCCTTAAAACTCTCATGAGAGCACCTTGGTGCAGTGGAAATGAAACATTTATTGATGACTTTGATTATGGTACAACTCTATATTGCTGCTGATAAATACAGTGTGATTATGTTACTGGTGTTTTGAGTCTTAAGGCTATGTTGGGCTTTGCAGCAAGATTTCACAGTGGTACTCCTCCTCTTGTATCCGTGTCAGACACAGTACTTCCAGAAGCAAGCTGCAGACCAAAGGAGATAAAGACTTGTAGAATGATATCTTGCATGCAGCATATTAGGACTGCAAATTATATTTTTACAACAAAAATTCATTTGTACAATACACATTAATCAAAATACTGAATTAACTTACGTTCTCCCCTCTTCCTAGTTATGGATTTGCCTTCTGCCAAATTGGCTGTGATCTCCCTCTCTAGCTCCAGGTTGTCCCTGAGCGCCCGCAGCTACAAGCAGAGATCAGAGTGATTAAACACAGCGAGACATGACTTAGTATTAATACACCATCTATTCTGGAGGTAGTGTAACAGTTTTTCATTCAGAGCCACCTGTCAACGTAATTGATTCACATTTTTTGGGGAAAATAGAAACAAGATGCACACATTCGATTTATATAAGACAGCACTGTAGTAGATCCTGGTAGATTTTGTTACCTAATCCACATTTTTTCAAAAGTTGCTTCAATGTGAATGTGTGAATGTGTAAATATCCTTACCTCCTCTAATTCAGCTAATTTATTGGCCAGCTCAAGACCTGCAGATAAGAAAACCAGTCATCATTACAGCCAGAATACATCTGTGTTATTTAAATTAGTTTCACTATTTTATTCTCATCTCTCACCTAGAGGATCATCCTTTTCAACAGGAACTAAGCTCTTGTGTAGTAACAGAGCTAGAATCTTGCCCTGGGGATCTGTGTCTTCTTTTGGATTAAAAACATGGTTTCCTGTATATACAAAGCTAATTTAAAAAATGCAACTTTAAGCACCATAAGTATCACAAAACATGATGTCACATCCATCCCATTTCATAGTCAGGCATCATCTCTTAACCTGTTGCATTTTGGCCATTAAACCAGCGATGACACCAATTTAAGGGGTGCAGTATTTGCATGCGGCATCAGAAGCATTTTCATTGTATAAAGACATAAAACACTTACCAGGGTTGAATAGGCTCCTTCCCTCTACATTCAACACTCCCTGCAGTAGTAACAAACCCAGGAGTCCTAAGCAGTAGTTCACAACTGTAACCCTATCCATAGTACTCATTGTATTGTCCCAAACTAATGCCACACTGTGAGACCTCCCTCAAGCAAGGCAAGCAATCCACTGCCTTGGGTCCATCCAGTCAATATATTTATCCTTTCAGGGGCCAGGAGGAGGGGCCAGTCAGCCCCTTGCGTACTAAATCAATAGCTAGTCATCGTGGGTTTCGTCAATGGACGACAATTTCACGTGGACCATGGACCGTCTGAGTGAAATACGGTGATCTGACGCTCTAGGCGAGGCCAGTAACCCTATATCACTCTGACATGGGCAAATCAAACAGAGAGAGGAAGTTATCAATCAGCCTGTTGGTTATGAAAGACCAGAATCAGATGTTCTTGGCACTAGCAAGTATTTTTCTTTTACATTAATTGATTCTTTAAATAGATGTGGGCGTGCGTTGGTCTGGGGAGGGAGGGGGCAAGTAAATTGATTCAGTCTCTAAGTGCATCATAGCCAGAGATGAGCGCCTCAATCTTGGCTTCGGGACTGATTTGGATCTGAAGGAACATCCATCACTGCGGCCAAGCCAACTACTCAACACCTCCTAAGTCACTGTGGTCTATTTTGTGCATCAAGGGAATCACATCTCATGTCTCTGCCAGAGGAGCAGCCATTGTGCTTGTGCAGCTTTAGGGAAATGAGCCGGTTGGCATTTACTGAACCTGGCTGGTGAGGGTCTCATAAAAGGGCTGCCTTGCCCCCCTTCAGACTTGACTTAGGAGCCTGTTGACGTCTGGTGTCTCGCAACCAAGAATCTTTCACAAATCCATCTCTTTAGTGTTTGGCTTTTTAGTACAAAGCAGCTCAAGGGCCTAATAAAACTAGAAACTTTAAACAACCTGAAAGCATCTAGAGAGTCTTTTGGGGGGGGGTAGATGTCAGCTGCATGTACCATGGCCTTACTTTTTTTCTGAATTATACAGCAATATGGTTCAAGGCTTTTGCAAACAATTGAACCAGTTTTGGATTTCTATTAATGTAAGAAGTGTGTGATGTTTGAGCTGAAGCCATGCAGTCATCGATCCCCTTTTGCTCCCAACCAGTCCACTGCATCACTAATAAATAAGGTCAGGGCCACGTTGACCTCGTAATATGTTGCTAAAAATAAACAGTAAGACTAATTTGACAAAGTATGTAGGCTTCTATTAATGGTGTTATTGATTGGCCAGTAAATGGACCACTAATACCACTTATTTATAATTGGTGTATGCATTCAGTAAAGGAAATTAATTGGAAACAGGCTGCTGCAAGTGTGGCAAACACCTGCAAGTTCAAATGCTGAACACTAGAGGGAGCAATCACATTAACATAATCAGAATACCGGCTGCTTTCAGATCACATGACACGTGTGTGTGTGTGTGTGTGTGTGTGTGTGTGTGTGTGTGTGTGTGTGTGTGTGTGTGTGTGTGTGTGTGTGTGTGTGTGTGTGTAAATGATAGCGAGTGAAAAAGAGAGAGAACAGAGCACACACAGAAAGCTTGTAACTCACTGTCACTTATAAATGTATGTCATACTCATTTAAACAAACGACTGAGTCGTCAGTCAGTCTGCTTTGTCTTGTTTTGATTTTTTTTTATCCCGCACATATCGTCCGCATTCAGTGCTCGAGGTGTCGTGTTCTTTTTCTTTGAGAAAGGACATTAAAACAAGAGTTGTCCTCAACTTCTTTTATTTGAGAGAATAAGTAAATAACACAGCTGTGGGTCTGGTCTGCTTCATCCAAAGGACAAAAGGTGCGCTTGCTACAGTGTGTGCACCATTTATATGTTGATTCTTTGATTTGATTGAGTGAGTTATTAAAGCCCAGTGTGTTGGTTATATCAGGGAGACTGTTCACAAATCCTGCGGACAATGGTCATGAAGATAAACAGGAAGGATTTGTAATCGTGTCAGCAGATTATTTCGTTGTATAGTGTTTGTTAGGTTTTCACCACACCCAGTATAACAAACCATTTTCACATATGTTTTGTTGAACAAAAATGTCACAAGGCATCAATATTCATTTGGATCATAGATTTGGCCAGAGGAGGTCGTGGTGAAGACTTCTTGTAGCTGCAGCTGCAGATGTCTCCAGTCACTGAACCCTGCGGAGGGAGCTGCGTCAAGTCAGACAGATGGAGCTAGAGTTATACCGGAAGTGTGACAATGCGGTCTTCAAAATAAAACCGAAAGTTGTGATCTTGGCTTCTATTAGTATCCTTGTATTTTTTGGTTATATAATAAATGTTATTGCAGCTATTGTGTGACCTGTGAATTATTATTGTACACATTTGTGTTTTAACATACTACAGCAGTATGTGCATTTTTGTGGCACCAGCTCCCAGAAGAATATAATCTTATATCCAGTCAAAAACATTAAAAAAAATCAAGTTTCACTTATTACACTATATCTCACAACTTTCTTCAGCAGTTGTAACTTGTTCTGGTGTCTTCATATGACGTACGTACATCGATCATTTCAACAATGTTGAAATGTAGGTGTGTAAAACCCTGAAATGCTACCTTAAAATGTTAAATGAAAAGCCCTAAAAACACATTTTCTCAGTAAGGTTCTTACTATGATGGCATCCTGTGAACAAACTATTTTCTGTATCATAAATGTATAAGGTTCTGGGGAAACATGATTTAAATTTTTTTTTTTTTTTTTTTTTTAGATATTTTCCATTTGGAAGTGTTGACAAGCAAACAATACAGTGATCACCTACTGTGATAAGAATGTATTAATGTTAATGCCACCTTTATTTCTATTCAGTGCTTTAACAATGTGCCACAACAACATAACGTTTGAGTCTTTGAGCCTTTTATTTTGACATTTCTGAGCGGAAGTTGTTCGTTAACGTGATCTGCCTTGGCGGGGCTGGTCGTGGGGAGGATCAGGGAGGGAGGGACGCTCGTAAAAACCGTGACACGCCAGCTTCAGCAGAGTATCTGCCAGGCAATTACAGCAGAGACGTATCGAGGGAGGGTGGCTACCGAAACTAATCAAAAGGGCCGTCCAGCACCTGAACCATCAATCGGGTTTATGAGCAAAGGCGATCAATCAGCCTGCGGTTAACCTTCGGAAAAACGCGGAAGTGTAATTCAACGTCAACGGTTGTTTTTTTTTTTTTTTTTTTGTGACTTATAATCGGTGACAACATGGCTGAATGTAACGTTAGCATCGACAAGAAAAAACTACCTGGAGTGAAAGAGGGTAATGTCCGTAAACATATTTGCCGGCTGTATGTGAAGCAAGCTAGCTGTGTATCTAGGTAACAGTAGCGAGGCTAACGCTAACCGAGTGACCGCAGGTGTTTCCAGGCACCACGGTTGTTATGGTTGCTAGCTCAGCCTGCTAGTTGACGCTAGCACAGTAGACTTAAAGAGGCTGGAGTCAGGTAGGCAGCACTGATTAGACTTCTTAACCCAGAGAGGGGGATACAGACCAGATTTTGTATCCCAATGTGTTTCCATTCAAGGTTAGAGGCGAAACGGGATTTTTAGCACCGAGAAAGGAGGGCGGCACACCATGCCCCCCCCCTTTCATATTTCCCACAGTGTTTGTATTATGGTTAAATGCTTTGTGGGTAAAGGGACATATACTCCTAATGGATGTACACAATCTGGCACGACACCAGTATGGGAAAATACAGTGCAGGAGTCAGGGAACTTGTATTCATTGGTCTGATCACATGTTTGCCTGCTGTGAACTTTGTAGTTCAACCAGAGCTCTTGAGTATAAGATGCGTTTGTTTTTGTGATGAAAGCAGCATGGACGGTGGACTGAAAGACACCTTTGGCCTCTTCCTTTTTGATTTTCACATCTGACGTATCCAGTTGCACTTTGCTTTTGGCTGTAATATATGTTACTGCTTTGACACATTATCCTCAAAGACTCTGTGTGACCAGCAAGAAACCAACACCCACCCCCCACCCCCCACCACATAACTTTTATACACACTCAAAACCTGGTCTACTACAGTTACTGACTTGAAGGTAAAAAAAAAAAAGCAGGTGGAGAGTGTGGCTTTTACACTGGGGCAGGTTTTTGAATGGGATGCTGTGCTGGTTGGAAGGAGTGGACCCCGTCCTGTTGGTGTGAAGCAGCTGCTCAGCAGGATGCTTGTTATTCTGGTCAGAGAGAGAGGGAACGTGCATTGCCACTGCTTGGCTAGTCTGCAGAGGGAGGGAAAGACAGAGAAAGCTGCTGGAAAAGTTTCAGCCTCATCCCTCATGTGTTGGGGAGACAGTGAATATTGTGAGCTGTCTAGTAGTACAGTAACTCTCAAATGAACTATTCTATTTCCAGTTCAAAGCCATCAAATGAACCAGAGCTTGCAGCTGTAATTCTTTTGTCACTTGTTGCTTGGTGGTGGTTTGAAAACTAGACCTAGTTAGATACTCGCGATCTTGGAAGCTTTTAAAAGCTACTGTTACACAAACCTAAATCGTTACAGTAGTTAAAACCACTCTTGTACACAGCTATACCAGCCAGAGATAATCTCAGGTTTCTTGGCTAAGAAGATTAAGCATATGGTTGTGAAATGTTAATCAAATCCCATACTGTTCTGAGACACTAAGGGGGGCTTTGTGGAGGTCTCGCCCTCTTCTTCACAGCATCTGTTTAAACCCAACCATTCACCCAGTAACTCGCATCTAATACAACCAGACAATCTGGACCATGCGTCAGTGATTTGAGTCCCAGGCGTCTTTGTGCTCGTCAATACTTTTGGCAAAAAAATTGTTTCCACAGAGCTATTTCTAATGCATGCAAACACATAGTCATAGGCTGTTGCTGGTTATTAATTTTTTATGTGGATGAATCTTTGTGAGAGCAGATGTGAGAGGTTATTGAGTTTGGCTCGCATGTGTAATGAAAGCTGGGAGGAGGAGAGCTTTAAATACAAGATTAGTGTCAAAGGAAGGATTGATATGACTGAATAATATATAATATATGGTGTATGATATGAATCAACTTTCATCTTAAAACAAGAGTATGTAAAAGAAATACTCTGAGTAAGTTAAATTATTCTTTATTTTGGTCTTCACTGAGCAGAGTGGCGTATGGCTTTTTGCAAGCTGAAATCATAGATTCATTGTTTTTCTTCTATATATATATATATATATATATATATATATATATATATATATATATATATAATGCAACGATGTTTACACAAGTTTTGCAGCTGAAAAAAAGTTTCCTGCTGCAGTATTTCAAGATACATGCTAAACTGAGGGTAGTTAAATTTATGCCGACTGAACCGTAGACACTATAAGGTACACACATCCTATGCTACACACATCCATAATTATCTGAGGCTGTGAGAAAGGTCTTAGTTTCTACTGTTTCCTACACAGGAAATTGTCAGCATTTGAAGGCTGGTGGATCCCGAATATACGAAGGAAGAAAAGCACATTTGGTTACGCTATCAAGGTTTTTTTAATGAGGAAATCTCCCCTCCCACAGCAGTTTGCACAATTGTTTCCAGAATGCACAGCATTTTGGCCGTATCTCTGCTTTTGAAACCATAAATGGAAAGTCTGCTGTTGACTTGTTGTGAAGATGTCCATGTAAGATGGGAAAACAAACCGTAAAATAGATTTTTTTTTTCCCCCAGGGAAATCTTGCTTGCTATAAATTGTGATCATACTCTGTATGCAGATAATTGAGGTCATGATTTTAGCCATGCACACAGTGTCAGTCCCATCAAAAACTCAGTTACAGTAAATGTGACTCACAAGTAAATGGGTTTGTTCAAAAGATCATATTTTCAGATTTCACGCTGTCTGACAATTTAGGTTGGAGCTTTGATAAGATAATTTTACTCATTCACTACATCAGGATTTAGGATTTATCACCAAATTAAAACAAATATAAATACATTTATCTCTAATCTTTGCAAATTGCACAAATTCTTGGGGAGGGACGATTCAAACCACAGCTCGTCAGCTATTTGACTACTTCTCACTTCTTAAGACCACACTCACCTCTAAATAACTTTTCTCAAAGAGATAAGTCTCAAAATCTCCCACAACATGTTTTATTTAGTTTTCACAGTCTGAGGGCAAATGGTGGTTCCTCATTCAAAGTTTCACTTCATGTCTTACGGACAAAAAAAAACACAGAGCCTCAAGCCAGATGGCCCGACTCTTTATCACACTCAAACTGTTTGGGGCCAGTTTTTAATTTGTGAAATATGTAAATGTGTCATCCTGTAAATAAGCTGGGCATATAGTGTTAAACAGATCTTTTGTTTTTGATCCAGTAGTCACTCGGCTCACAAGGCAAATCTGTACATCACACATATAAAAGAGTTTAGTAGTAGAGCCACTGAAATAAATTCACAAATTACAATCAAAGTTTAATTGCTGACACCTTTTTGATCATCTGCTTGTGTGTTCTGGTTAACCTATTTGACCTGGCTTCCTGTGGGCCAGCTTTTACATATTTGTTCTATTTAAGCATTTGTATAGGCTGATGCGCCGGATGTTTGGCATCTGAAACTGTGATTGTCAGATTTAGATCTAACACCTCAACTGCCTCAAGTATGACTTGTACCAGCTAACAGCTAGAGTTTCAGTCGGCCGTAGTTGAAACTATAATGATGTATCTGTGTTCTTTTTCAGTTTCAGACTTTCTTTTTTTTTTTTTTTCAGTGTGCCGAGACTTTGCTGTGCTGGAGGATCACTGCCTGGCTTACAACCTCCAGGAACAAGAAAGTAAGAAACTACAAATTGGCTATGGTTTTTGAATTGCCCCCCCTTCCCCACCCAAGAGACTTATAACTGCTACTTATTTCAAACAAGAGACGTCTGCTGCTTTTCTGTTTTCAAGCTCGGCTGCTTTAGATGGGTTCATCCCGTTCATACACAAAGGTCCCATTCCCTTTTCCCAGACAGTCTGTTTAAACACTTAAGTCATTTATTCTTGTAATGTTTTCTGCATCGGGCCGATTACATCACTGTGGACTGTTTTTTGTCAAGCTGCCCTGCTACATTCCTACAGTAGGTCACTTAATGTTTACTTTGCAAAAGAACAAACTATGAAAGATGTTTTCAGAGAGTAGCAAGGACTCCACCACGCTGCTCTTGGCCATTCTGGAAAATGTGTCCAACAGAGTAAATCGCATCGTCAGTGGCTGCAGCTGGACTAAGCCGACATAAACCCTACTTCAGCCACACGGTTAACAGTGTGAATGATGCAGGAAGCCACAACAATACTGTGTCAGGGCAGGGCTGTGACAGACTACAGTGGACTGGTGCATGTGATTAGATCAGATCACATTAATTCGTGTCTCTGACTCAGGCGAAAGCATCATTTTGTCTGTAGTGTGTGTGTGTGTGTGTGCTATGTGTTTGTCCCTGCATGCCTTGTTAGATTTGCTGGTGCTTTTATGTGAGCTCATTCATCTGTAATTACCTGGCATCGTTTTCACATTCTTCAGTTAGGTGCATTCAGACAAATTGTTGAAATCTCATTGTTAAAAGCTTTAACGTTTCTTGTAGAAATACGTCTGGCCCCTCATTGGAGCTTCTGCCACCTTCTGCTGAGTTAGTTTGAAAGGACATTTTCTTCCAGGAGGCACTGACAAACACAAAGCCAGACATAACAAGGCCTTCCTTTTATCAGACACAAATGAATATCTGCAGGTGGCTAATGGCCACCACAACGCATCATATCCTGCACATGCACTCTTTCATTCAGAAATGACAGGAACCAACAAAAAGAGGCTACTGCTTTCAGATTGTGTAGGAAATTTTGTTTTGAGGGGGATGGATGCATTTAGAATGTAGACAGTGGAAACATAACCACTTTCACTTCTTCAAACAATAGCTTGTTTTTCTGTTTCCATAAATATGTCACTCTATATCACCATAAAAGGGTAATTTATGCAACAATCCCTGCAAGAAAGAAGGCGCAATGTCATTCAGCCATACCCTAAGAGCAGATTCGTCTCTGTTTCAGCTGTATGTAAAATTGGGTTTTGGCTGTCGTGTCCTTGCGTTGTCATTAACCCTTTTAGAGCCTCAGTGATCTATAGCCAAGGCTCATCTCCTGTTGTCGCCACACTAACTGAGCTGGTTTGAGCTGGCAAGTGTTTGTTTCACCTTTGACCCAAGGGTCATTGAGGAGAATGCTGGCTGACGTAGCCTGCCAGTGTCCCTTTTTTTTTTTCCTGGATCACATCAACAGATGGCCCTCCCAGATTGGCTTCTTGGCACATTGACTTCAAGTTGAAGAGGAGTTACAGCTGGCTTTTATTTCCATTCAAAATGTTGAGCATGCAGAACACTGAAACATCCAAATGTTCTTTATGGCTGTGTCAGCTCTTGGCGTCTTTGTTTCTGGAATGTGTTTTCTCTGTTTCAGTGTATGGATCCCTGCTATGTCTAAGGTTCTAGCTTTCTCACCCCAACGCCTCTTTTTTCTGAATGACAGGAGACCTCTTCAAGGTTGAGTTTGTTGAATGAACTAATGTCACAATGTCCGGTCATGTTTTTTGTTTTGTTTTTTCAATCTTTTTTTTTTTTTTTCCTGCCTGGAAAGATGAATCAATGAAAAATGTGGCAGTGGATAAATGATAGCCTTATCTTGGGTTGTGACATCAGTTTTGCCATTTTGTACGGTGTCATACACTTAAACAATTGATCAGTGTCATCTAAAAAAATCAATGTCAACCCCTTGACTTTTTATCAAGTTGTGACTCACTGTTTCCTCTTTCCATCCCATGAGGTCAGAAAGCAAAAAAACTTTATGGGGCCTCTCACGGGTAAATTGCCAAACGTAATTTGGTCCTTTTGACATGAAAGCTGGCAACAGATCGATAGACAGGTGAAACAGAGCTTAAGGAGTGAGTGATGCTCTCCATGCTTACCTAGTGCCGAGAGTGCGTCAGCAAGCAGGATTTATTATCTGTTATGGCTCACAACGTGCCATCACACAACCTTGGAACGGCACCTCAGCTGTGAACATTCATTTCTCAGTGACTAAGAGTGCTCTCTGTTTATTACCAGAGACTGAAGCGTCTGCGTCCTCGATGTTAATAGTGTTCTCTGCAGACCATCCAAACAATACTATTGCTCCTCAGAAGTGGAACACATCAAGAAAGTGTCGATCTGTAATTAAACCCCTCGGTGCTCAGCTGCTCATCATTCTTCTAATTCATCGCTAGTGCAGTAGTTGACCTACTCTGGTTTGTGTGTACACACTTTTAAGAGCAGTGCTTATGTGTTTGTGTCTACAGTTGAGAGCCACTTGGCGTCCAACGTCAATAAGAGCCGTCTGGTGCAGAAGGACCTGCAAGTGGCCAAGAAGCTGCAGGAGGAGGAGGATAAGAGGGCCAAAGTCCAGAGCCAAAAACAGCACGTTGACCTGTGGGTGTCTCTAACAAACCGACAGACACACACACGCACCATTTATACATGTCTATATCAAAGCAAAATTCAAAAATGTAAATCAATCAAATAAAAAAAATGCGACCTATAATGAGGAGCAATTCTTTATATTCTTATTTCTTATTCATATTTAATGATACATTTTATTTACTTGAAAGCTATGGCCCCCGAAAGAACACAAGAAGTAATAACTTACTTATAATAATAGCTGTGTACAGTATTTGTTGCTTTGTTGGTAGCATCTTTTTCAGATGAGTGTAATTACTCCCAAAACCTAAGACAGATTTATGCGAGGTGATCCAACACTCGTGCCACAGATGACTCCAAATTGATTTAGTGTAGGTTTAACCCTAATGCCGTAAATTAATAGGTCACGTCTCGCATTCATTAACCAAAATAAGCTTGTAAATGCTCTTTCATTCAGTGTCTGCTAGAGATCAGTGAGTAAAAGATTTGGTATTGTTTGCTATTTTTCTGATTACTGAGGAGTCCCACATTCATATACATGAGATGTAATTGACTTTACATTTCTACACTGACTTTCTGATGAAGAGCAACTATTGCTGTGTGGAGAAGGTAAAGGCTTTCTTAGATCACAAAATATACTAGCTTTAAAACCGCTCTGAAGAAGAGAAGATTATGAGGCCTGTCTCCAGTTTGATAGATGTTGTCTTCACTAACAGCAACTGCTACCAGCATCATAAACATGGAGGAAAAAACACAAGCAGACCATTCAGTTCTTGTGGTCTCTGTGTGGTATCTCCATAGCCCTGATATATAATTATATTTTTTAAGGGGTTTGGGTCAGCTCCAGCCTCACGTCCAAAGCTATGCAGCTTCCCCACAAAGTGGGCAGTGACCACTCCTAAACATAGATGCGTGTGCTTGTTCAGTCCAGACTAGGAGCTGCAACATAAGCCCTCCTCTCTGCTCCGAAATCTTTATTAAAATAAAACTGCTGACTCACAGTTTAGTGACCGTTTCAAACACACCCAGAGCCAGAAAGCTCCAGTAGTGGGATTGCACCCCCGGGGGGAGACCAGATGCTCCACCATCTATGCAGGCAGGCCAGTGCTGCTTGTCATGCTGGGAGCTCACACTGCCATCCACCTTGTGTTGCCAATGCCACTTCATATACACCCACTCTGAGACATTTGACTAAACACACACACACACACACACACACACACACACACACAGGGGAGTGCAGCGTCATTTGTTTCTTAGTACAGACCTATCAAGGCACTCTAAGGCCCGATAGTCTATTTACCTTTGACAGCTTAAGTCCTCCTTAGCTGTCAGCTGCTCAGGTCAAATGCAGTTACAGTGCAAGGTAGTTACGCTGATGCTGTGTCTTTTTAAGTAAAGCATTACACTCATGTGTGTCTACACACACAAACAAAAAAAATGATCTTTGCATACCAGCCCTCCAGGCAGATGGTGTTGTTGTCAAAACCATGCCGTTTAAAGACGTGAGTGAGCCAAAGCGAGCTGTTGAGATCGACATCACAACAGGCAAAAATATTAATGCTCCTGCCTGAAGCAAGCACATTCCCGCTCACTACATGTTAGATAATAACTTCACTGCCTTGTGTTTCTCTGGTGTAACGCAATACAGTATAATAGAGTGTTTTCATTTTCCTTTCTAAGTCTGCAATATTAATCCAGTATGAATTAAGGCTGGAATACTTCATGGCAAGTTGGGGTAAAATGTATCAAGGAGAATGAGGGGGAAAAAAGTATTGAGGGTCAGAAGAAATCCAACAGAAACATCAGGAGGAAGTGCTCAAAACGGGAGACATTGAAGTATTTAACATATGTATGAGACATATGTGTATGAGACATACATGTGTAGAAATAACAAAAATATTTTTAATCTCTAAACACTGGTCTGACACTGTCTTAGCCATCATCATCATCCACATCCTTACTTATATGATTACAAACATTACTGATTAAACATTGCTAGAGATTTTGTCACAATCCTGAAGCTATTAACTGTTGTATATCTTTAATTCATGTTTTAATGTTCTCCAAACCCCTCCACATATATCCATGAACACACATCAACCTGTGTGGACCTCAGTGAGCGCCAAGATAATGAGATCGCCCAGGAGATTCAGGAAGAACTGGTCCGACAGGCAGAACAGCAGCGACAGCAGGAAGAGAAGGATGCGGTAAGATGCACGCACGCACGCACGCACCCACACACAGGCGTAATGTCAGTTACATCGACCCGTCAATGACTTGACTTCTAGTGTCAGTGTACTGTAATGGGTGGGTCATTCCACTAGAATCATGAACAATCATGTTTGTGCTTTCCCATTGTAATCACGGAATGACAGCCATAGTGACCTGACCTGTATTTATTTTTTTCAAATTCATAATGTATTCACAATGTTTCTGCATTACACAAAGAGCAGAGATTTAAGTATATGATGCTGATGCTACAGTATGAGGATGTTCATAAATTCCATGATATTGTTGATAATGATTTCAGATATCAGTATCCGTGTTCCCTCCGCAAAGGGCAACGGTTGAGGTTAATTGCTAGTAGATCTTTCAAAATATCTCAGATGTCACTGATTATTTTTTCTTTATCTTAAAGTGTAACTACACCCTTCAGTTCTGGTAGTTAACTTCCTCTCAGCAAATTTAAATAATGCATCCGAGAGCTGCAAAGGACAGTGACTTTGAGGGGTGTGGCCTCGACATGGAGCACAGCCATTTCACAGACTTCCACTCAAAGCGGCCAACTCTATGTCAGCATTGGCCTTGCAAGGTTCAGAGTGATTTAAAACAATACAGGGCATGTCTGTAGCCATTTTCAACCCACAAAATGCCAATTTTCATAACTTTGGTAAGAATATTTACCCCAGCATTGATGGGTTTCATCATATTTGTTACATATTGGCCCAAACAGAGAGCCTTTTTCATATTCATGTGGGATGACATGTTTACTGTGGCCTTGTTTGTTTGTAGGCCATAGCTCGTAAGCTGCAGGAGAAGGAGATGAAAGAGGAAAGGAGAAGACAGAAGCAGCTGGAAGCAAACTTTGAGGAGGAGTACTTTGAGGATCACGGAGGTGGGGAGAGCGCCACTGTCTCATGTTAATATCTAGCTGTTCTTGTGTTTGTTTATCTCTCTCTCCATGTGTTTGTTGCCCGTATGAGCTTGTGAGTGTGAGTGTGAGTGTGAGTGTGAGTGTGAGTGAGGACATGAGAGAAGATATGCTTCCTCTTCTGTGGACTGGGATTTTCTTACCAGCTCTAGATGTGTGAGGGTGTGCTTTTGATGCTGCACAGCGCTGGAGATTGTTGCTGACACAAGGCAAAGATTTTGGAATGCTTATAAGCCCATAATTAACCTTGAAGGGAGGCTTACATGTTCCTACAGAGAAATAATTTGTCATTTCACTCCCATTCAAGAGCAAACACCACTGTAAATGGGTTTAACAGTGCTCCAGTTTTGAAGATGCATCTTAAACGTGCTTTGATATCAGTGTTTACCTCAGATGTTAAATGAATCTCCAGTTAGTGGTCAATGAAGGCATTGGGAAAAAACAAGTGAGGCCACATACCTACGTAAAACCTCTTTTGTTCAGAAACCTGTATTTGTTATGCTTTTGTAACATACTGTTGAGCTCTATCAGTGTCACATATTGGAATCGTTCCTTTCAAGCACACCACGCATCACCATACTGCATGATTCATCCCACTGGAGGTCTGTTCATTTTCTACTGAAACAGAAACTCATTTGAATCTTCATTTGGCTTGTTTGTGAACGGTTGCCACATGTCAAGTAAACTGTGCAGAAGATTCACCTCAAGATCAGGGTCAATCCTGCATTCTGCGTCATGCTGGCTCAATAGCATAGTGACATATAGTAAAGGGATATCAGTTTGTCAGCATGAGAAATGTTGCTGCCGCTGAAATGTACCATCTATCTCATAGTAATGTGGCCAAGTCTGAATGAAAATAATTATTTTGTGTGTAACACAAAACTATCGATTTCCTCTGCTTTGTTTGTTCCCAGCACCTTTTTATATCCTCTGAAATGCACATATATTCCAGAGACACAATACTATTTACTTTCACAGCCAAGGTTAATATTGTCTGCTTACAAGAGGAGTTTTAGGTTATTCCACTCCTTTTATGCTTTGTGGACGTATGTTAAGTGAAACAGCTGATGCAAAACAGCACAGAGGGAGGGGGACAATTGTGAACAGAAGAGCTGCTGTGGAGGCAGAGTTTAGAGAATACAGTGTCTATACTGTGACACAAACGGGCCTAAGTGTCTTTAGCTGACAGTCTACCTGTCCTGTTGTGTCTGTATGGATCACCAGCTGACCCGGTACATTACCTCTTTCTAAAGATGTCACACATGGCAGGCCTACCTACAGTACATCCATGGCAACTGTGCCACTCTGCCCTGCTCTCTTTATAGTAGAATATTTGTGCCACTGCCAGGTTCACTATGTTTGCAGTGTTGCCTCGCAAGTTACATAACCACTCACCTACAGTGTCCCTGCTGACTGTATGTGTATGCATACAACTGTGGCAGTGTGAATGTACACAAAGTAGAACAAAGATTGAGTACCTTTGTTTAGCCTGCAGCTATCGCTGTAAGGGACAGGTTTCACAGTGAGTAACCAGATGTGTGATATGCAGGTTACAAGACTGAAACTGTGCATAAAGGTGTTTAGTTCTTTAAAGTTAAAAACTGTCATCATCTTGTGCTTATATGTGGATATTCTTAGAGTGTTGTGTTTTATATACTCTTTTATACATCTGTACACACACACAGCTTTTTGTATGCTCTCATTGCTTTTCATCAGGTCATGTAATTGGCCGCACCTCTTAGGAAATGAGAGGCTGCTGGCTGTGTTTGTCTTAATCCAATGGATTACAGTTGCACACGAGCCAGCGTGGGGGCAGAATCTGTCTCCGCTTGACAGATACACGCCTGTGAGAATGTGAGAGAGTGTTACGAGTATAGGAAAGATGGGAACGTGTATTTAAAAGTGAGATGGGGCAGAAGAAAGCAAACCCTTAGAATAGCCCAGTCACTCTGAGCAGGTACCAGGTAAACTGTCTATGTACCTGCCCCCTTTTTCAAAAGTTGAGACATTAAGCAGCCGGTTAGATAACTGAATTCCATTGAGCTGACTCTGCACAGGTCCAGGCCTCTGCTGTGTGCTTCCTCAATGTGCTTTTCAACTCATTTGTTTTCATTCAAACTTGTCAGTCACAGGCCAACTCCCAGCAGGACTGTTCTTAGAGAAGAACATATTGTGCTCAGTCTCACGTTCAATTCCATTTGAGTCAATCATCAAACAACACACAGTATTATATGCTATACCGGCTGTTCTATATTAATATTACCATCTCAAAACATTTGTTGGGACTTCATTTTAATTTCCCCACGGTAATGAGCACATCTCTGGACATATTGGGTGCAACTAACACCGACACTTTACATCTGTCTTTTTTACCATCATTCTAGGTTAGGTGCTGCCTAACTCGGTGCTTACTAACCACCTCAGCTTATGTATTTCCTGTGTCATTTTTCACGTTTCCATGTTCTCATCAACCATCATCTTCATCATTCTCTCCATGCTGCCCTCCTTCCACCCTCGCTCCTTCATCTCTGCCCTGTTCAGCTGCAAGAAGACCCCTTGACTTGGACAAACACACCCGTCACAAATCGACGTCCCCAGGCCGATATGATGCATATGCTCCAGTGAGCTCACATCGTGATAACTCCCCAGATTATAACTCAATAGAGCCCAAAAGGAGCAGGTACCCAAAACAGGACCCAGTAGCACCCCACAGTCGCTCCAGATACCCCGAGCATTACCTAGTGGCAGAAGGAGGGCGAAGTAGACCTGCAGATCCATACCCAGAGCACCTGCTGCCCTCCAGGGGGAAACACGGGGACAGATACCCATTTTATGAACCCACAGAGACTGGCAGAGCCAGGGGTCCAGAGACAGAGGATGCAGAGAAAGTGGTGAGGAGGAAAGAGAGACCAGCCAGACCACCTCCCCCACAGAGTCCTGCAGAGAGAGATAAGGCCAGGGAAAGACAAAGGGACAGGCAGCATGAGTGGGAAAGGCACATGGGAAAAGACCAGAGGAGAGACAGGGAGCACGACCTCAGGAGGGCGAGAGCAGGAGGAAGAGACAGGGAAAGATCCAGAGATAGAGGACAGAGCGGGGACAGACGCAGACAGAAAGACGGAGATAGACAACGAGCCAGAACCAGGAGCAGGGAGAGGGGACTTGAAGGGGAGCCAGGCCACAGCAGGGACTGGCCAAGGGAGGGCAGGGCGTCTTGGGAGGAGGAAGGGGATGATGGTGAGAGGGAGAGGAGGGCCAGGGGCCGGCAGCGTATCCAGTCAGGCCCCGAAGAGGTGTTTGAGGAGTTCAGGAGCGACGAAGGGAGAGGGAACATCAAAGAGTTCTCACCCGACAGGGGGAAGGTCCCCGGCAGGGAACGCAGTCATACTCACCCCAACGAAGAGACAGGTACCACCCTGAGCTCCCCTCTGGGTGCTGCAGGGGTGTTTGTGTGGTGTGCTGGAGTGGCTTTTTTAGCTGTGGCAATCTCAGGTGGTGGGTTGATCTAACAATGCAATCACTAATGAAGACTTTAATTTTCTCTGTTCTCATGAGGACGATGATCATTTTACAGTAATTACTGATGACTGATGTGATTCTGATGGTTTGTTGTGCTGTGGGGTTCGCTCATTCTTGCCTTGCCTGTTACACTGAGAGTGAAATGTGTGCTGTGATTTTGTTATAGAATAGCTTAATGGATTTTGATGTTCAAATGTGGCATTCACAAGGGGCTGCAGGGCTGGTTAGCCAGTTGTATTATCTTATCCCGAAGCTGTGGAAGGCATTAAACAAAACACAGGGATAAATACCAGCGGCGATGCACTGCAGCCCTTTTAGGTGCCTTGTGGCTTTAATCCAGATATGATTTTGTCTGTTCTAGTGCTGAAACAATTAGTCTATTACTCAAAAATGATTTAGCTCATTTTAATTTTTCATTTTGCTAATTATGAAGATGAATGCCAAAAGAAATCAGACCAAAAAAGCAATTTGAATACATAGCCCTGGGCTCTGGGAAATTGTGTGTTGTTTTTTTGTTTTTTTTAATGTATGTATACATACATACATACAATTTCCTCAGGTCTGAAACACAAAATAATTGAAACCCGAAAATCATCATTGGTTGCGGCCCTAATCTGTTGTTACTATAATGTGCCGACATCTGCAGGTCGTATTGTGCACAAAGGGAGTGGAGCAGTAGTAGTAGCAGAAACGGAGTACGGGCTGAGGGAGGCCACCAAGGGGCTGACCAAGCTCGATCTCCGTGAGCAGGAGCTGAAGGACATGGAGGTGGCCAGGAAACTGCAAGAGGAGGAAATCAAAGTGAGGGAGCACACCAGAGAAGTATTAGTTTTTATTAATTTCTTCAAATAAAAGGTGAACATTTTATTGTGCATGCTTAAAATCAAATCAAACTGTTTAATATGTTGAACATATTTTATAATAAAAGTTTTATGCATTTAACAACTCTTCCTCCATTAAGCTGCTGCGTTCTGCTGAGTGATCCCAAAATGTGCTACTGTGCATGTTAAAAGTGCAGGCAGTAATAAATACTGTAAGCCAAGACCAACCTCAAGCACTTAAACTTGGTATTATTGAAGGCTACAAAGAGCAAGAGCTCTGAATACTAACACCCAGCTTCTGGATGGTGCTCGGATGTGTCAAGTCAGATATACAAAGTCAGATATTCAGCTTATAATAAATCCGATATCAAAAGTCTTGACAGTAGGCTTATAAAAAGTACAGTGTCAGTTCTTTGCACCATTGGACTTATATAGAATTAGGTTTTTGGTTGCAATAACATGAGGCTTTATTTTAAGAAAGCAATGTATAAGGGTTAGTGCGAGTACGTGTGAAGTCTACTCAACATTGCTACAGCTTCATCTGTAGCGAGTGCTGTATGATAGAAGCACTGGAATAACAGTGTGATAAAGCAATATACGTCTCTGCTGTAAATGCCTTGAAGTCTGTGTGTCCCAAAAAAACATACTGAAAGGCCTCAATCTCAGCCATTTCCTATGTTATATAATGTTGGAACAATGTGTTCCACTCTGGGGGAAAATGTGACTTTTTGATTGTTTTCTGGTTTCAGGCAAGCAAGATGCATGTGCGCGCAGCCCAAGTGGCACAGGATGAGGTGAGTGGACATGAAGTCTGGAAACTTTTCTTATGTCTGTCCTCTTTTTATGTCCTTTCATTTCCTGAGCTCAGCCAATTGAATCAGCTTTATTGTCATATAACCATGAGTATATAAAGCCATGTCTAAACCATATTCTTGACCAAGATTATGTAAGAAGTTATAAACTACTGTACCAGTGACATTATACTCATTTAATGTTCTTAAAAACCTATATAGCTATGAATAGGGTGTTTTTAGAATACGACAGTTCCAGCACACTAGGGATATACTGTATATAACACAAATTTGTATTTACATGAAACACAATGGAGGTGTCGCCCACACATTGCATCACATTGGATATGGAGGTTTTTTTCTTTTGATATGGATGTGTCTGATGTCTTGCCCCGGCAGGAAATCGCCCGACTGCTCATGGAACAAGAGAAAAAGGAGTACAGGAAGAATCGTGAGCGGGAGAATGAGAGAGAGCGGGAGAAAGAGAAGGAGCGAGAGAAGGAGAGGTTGGCCTTGGAGAGGATGGCAATGGAAAGGAGGCGGCAAGAGGGAGACTACAGGGTAATTTTCCGCAACCGTACTCATTTTTAAATGTGTGCTTCGGGGTGAAATATTTTTGCAGCCTATGACTTTATTTTACATATGTGTGTATTTCCACTGTGGTACTAGAACCGTAATTATAGGAACCATAATCTTTCTTGGTTTCCAGCCAAATTCAGAGGAAGTTGTCCGGCCCAGAACACGAGATGAGCATGAATACCAGAGGCAGAGGAACCACAACAAGCCTGCCAGGTACAAGACTCTGCAAGACTAACTCTTCAGACCAAATATTTCTAGTCAGTCAAGAAGTAGAAACCTCAGAAATGTCTTTTCTTAAATTTTCTTTCTCTTTTTCTCCAACTGTCTCAGACCTCCTCAGCCTCGTGCACACGACTATGAGAATGTGAATCCTGGTTATGGCTACTCGGACCACCCTGTTCCCCCCCGCGCCCCCACCCGACCTGAGGCTGCTTACAAAGGTATGAAGTCCATGTGACAGAGTGGCTGTATTTATTACACTTAAACCTAAAGTACTATCTAATAAGAAGGATGCATAAAGGAAGATACATTGCATATAGTTAACATTACTGCTTACTATTTTTCTTTAGCTTGTCAGATTTTTAGTCTTTGAGGTGGTTTTTATAGCTCTGTGCATCCAGACTGTCCTGACTGCACATATTTTGGAGCAGAAGTGTTGATTTTGAATTAGCAAAAGCTACAAACTTGCAAATAAATTTCCTCAGCTCATACATATATATACTTACTCTTGAGTTGACAGTTGAGGGATGACAGGAAATTAGAGGGAAGAGTAAGCGACAGGGAACAAACCAGAGATGGTTGTGGCTGATGGTCAGTGCCTTAACCCCCAGGCCACCAGGGAAGTGATGTATTATATCAAAGCAGAGACAGTTCTTGTTAACATAACTAGGAGAGTGGTAAGAATAATCAGCAAAAACAAATTCCAGATCTCAAAGAAGAAAAAGTGAAAGCGCAAAAACACCACAACTACAATACAATACAACTTAAATTACAATGTGATGTGTCAAGCTGCTGATGGATCTCTGACGGTCTCTTCCATCTTTTCCAGGTGCCTATTACAAGCGGTGACTCAGGCTCTCTACCATGTCCAGACATGCTGTCAGTCCTTCTTTGTCCTCTTTTTTTAATTTATCTTTTTGTTTTCAACCATTTGCACTCCGTTGACCAAAAGCCTTGGGACAATCTGATGCAATGGATTTTTTTTAATACCCTCCAAAGTTGGCCCCAGAGTGAAGGAAGTGGGTCTGTGAGTGTTGGAACTACACTCATCTTTTCCTCTTTTTTTTTTTTTTTTTATTTGTAAATTGTATTATTTTAACTGACTCGACATCAAGACAAGCCAAAATATCAGCCTTTTTGACATAAACTCCCCTAATTCTTAGCTGTTGAAATCGAGGAACCAGCTCCTCGACCGCCATCGTCGTCATGTGCTGATGTTCATCTGTGGACCGTGTCATCACAGGGGCTCAAGGCCTCCGCTGGATATAACCATGCAATCTCAAATTTCCTCATGACTCTACATGGGACGTGCCTGTCTGCTCCAACATGGCTGCTACAGTGTCTTAGATACCAACATGGCAGCTGCTTTGTACACCCATGCTGCAGTTCTGTTCTCTCTGCACAGGCCCGACCCATGTGCCACACAGTGTATGACTCTGGAGGGTTACGTCTCTGTTGCTGTATTCAAGCTAAACAGAAATAAGCCTTTATCAAGATGCTGGTAGTTTTTGCTTTGACATGTTTACCACCTTGTTCCAGTGCAGAGGAGGTGGAGCTTTGTGATGATCCATGGACATTTAATTGGCTGTAGGCTGTGTCTTGTTCTGCTTGTGAGGGGCACTTTTTAACGCCATCACCCTTAAACTGAAAGTGGATGGATGATACTCACTGTTTCTATGTGCATGCTTACTGAAAGTGTACAACAGTGTACATGCATTTCAGCTCTATATCAAATTATGTCTCCCTCCTTTATTGTCAGAAAGGGCTAAAGCCACAAAAAGCCAATAATCTTCTCTTTGTGAATGAATAAAATATGCGTTAGCTCATGTATTACTGTACAAAATATCACTTTTCTGCAACTATTTCATATCAGCTCATCATTTACAAACCAAAACTGGCCCATAAAAGAACCAGTACCTAAATGAAATGCATGTACATTGCTTGTCTGTGTTTATGCTTGTGCTTACTGCACAGACGATGTGCGATTGAATATTTGTTCTTTATATTTAAATGTACATATCTGATTTTTCTTTTTTTAACTCGTTCTACCAAATCATGTTCCCCATTGTGGATAATACAAGATTCTGTCTTAAGTCCCTTTATCTTGTTTCCCACTAGTTATCTTTGTTTAAAAAGGGAGCCTTCCATTTTATTTTTATACAATATTTTGCTGATCCAGATTGTTCCCATAGTTTCCATTCCCTCTAGCTGTCCTGCCGTCCCTTCCAGTCCTCTTCTCTTTGTCTCAAACTCAAAGGCAGATATCCCTTCCTGCCTGCAGAAAAGGCAACAGTCCCACAATAGAAGTCAGGATTGAGGGAAACCAGTCACAGGAACTGCCTGAAATGTTGACCTACAATATATATCACTGCTCCAAGGGACCTATTTTAGTCTTTTTACTGCTCCAGGATCCGTTAATTTCTGTTCATATTGAATAAGGATGATAAGGAAAATGAAAAGCACATTCAATCTTTTGAGTTTACTGAAATGTTTGTGATGGCCACAGAAGTGATTCACTCCAGTGAACATTTAGTGCTGCTTCAAGGTTCTCATTTTATAATAAATGTTGCTGAAATTAAAAATCAGCTTCCAAAACTCTTCCCTCCCTGTTAACAGAAAAAGAGCAGTTTTCTTTACCCAAGTGTGAGATGTTTGTATCCTGAGAAAAGAAAAGAGAAAATATTGAATCATAATATGTGCTAATTGCTGTTGACAGAATGAAATTTGTGCCATATGTAATTTGTTTCAGGGACTTCAAAATGGGAAAAGCTTAGTAGTGGTTGTAGCAGAGCTACCACACCCACCAAGGTGGGACTCGTAATTTATTCTTTGGTGAGAGCACCACCTTGTGGACATGTGGAAAAGGACGTGTACAAAATTGATCTGATCAGGATGCGTCTTTGTGTATTTGTGGATGTTGTGCATCAGACATTACTTTGGAATCAAGTGCTGTCTACATCAAACATTGAGTGTTACATTTTTTGATTTTCTTTAATTCAGGGCTTGTATGCAATCTACCAATCATGAATCAACACATACTGTATGTGTTGGCACTTGCTGTAACAGAACCTTTTTTTTAAAGTAAAAGGAATCAACAAGTTGCTTTTACCTATAGCATCTCGAAATGTATTAAACTGTATCAGCGTTTCCACTGTTTATGAATACGACTCATTCATTAAGTCACACAGTTAGGCCACATAAACACGAGGCTGCTCGGTGCGTTGGAGTGCAACTAGTGAAACAGAGAGGCTCCGGCCCAAATAACATTTTAATAAAAAATACCTTGAGGCTTCCAAAGTAATTTGTAAAGTCTTTTTTTTTTACCATTCTGCCACTGTCAGAATGTCACCATATACCTGTAGTACAGGTTTTAAGTTTCCCAAAAAGAAAAACTTTTCAGCTCCAAACTCACCCTCTAGCAACTGACCTGCTTAGCTTTTGGCCCAGAGGACAATCTGCATAGCAAAAGCAACAAAGGGCATTTAGATTTTAAATTGTGGTGGTGTTGGCTGACTCCCAGTTTCATGTCACATTTGTTCTGAATGTTACATAATGTGTCACTCACCTGTTGGACAAAGTTAACTCAGAAATACCAAATGAAAGGGAACTGAGTTTGAAGAAACCTGTTTGAAGTATGTGTACATCTCAAGCTGTTTGCTTAAATAAATGATTTAAGCTAAAAGACTATTATGACAATACAATGCTGTACAAGCATTTTTCCCACATGTTCATTTTTGTTTTAACAGATACAAGAGCATATATTCCCTGAAATCATAAACTGATATGTAACATTTGTCCCTAAATGGGATTTTATTTTAAAAGAAAAACAACATACAGATACTTGGATGCAGTGCTAATTCTTTAATCTCTATCTTGGATGCAGTCATGTACTCAGAGTTTTCATTGTGAAGTTATTTCCTTGTGTGGGGTGCTTGCTGTCAGTGGCATTAATCTTTTATTGTCAGCATTTTTAATAAATCATGCCACAGTCAAGGGAAGTACAGAGTTACACCCATCATCTGAGAACGTCTAAGTGGAGCTGGTTCACCAACATACCTGACATACTGATGCTTCGCCTGCATGTGGTAACAACACTGCCATGCCCTCAGTGGGATATGTCACAACCAAACTACTGGAAGTTACACCTCCATAACCAGAAAAGTGGCTGCTGCTGTTGTTGGGAGATTTAAGACAGAATTCCTGTTTAACTCCTTGTGGATTTAGTGTCTGGTGAATTTTAAGATTGTCTGCTAAAACGCTCCTCAGATGAGACTCTGCTTGGATATCTGATTAGACATGAAGCCTACTAACATTTGGTTGGCAGCTTCTAATTCCCAAATGCTCCTTTAACATATATTGACAGTTTGCAATATTAAAAAAAAATACATGACATTTTTTAGAAGCAGAGTTCAATTTTGCAATTCAGCCTGAAAATATATTCCCCCAACACAAATACCATCCAAACCTCCATTGTGGTACCTCAGTTTTGCCTGGGATGTACATTACACACACGACCAGAAACAATGACTGAAATTTTTGAACACACAAATTCCCAGGCAAAGTTTCCAGCTGAGCGGGTAACAGAAATGTTGTAAAATAATCCTGTTGAGACAAAACATAATTATTACTCTGTATATCACCAATATATACTGTAGTTGTGTGTGGGTAGAAATGTGTAAAAAACGTGTTTGATCATGCTTTTTCAGTGCTCATATATCACAAAATACACACAATGATCCTCACTGCAAGCAAATATTGATTCAGGTTCAGGCTGAAACTTGTTTGATATGTTGTCTTAATAATCATAGTGTGCTGCACTATGATATAGCCATCATCTACAGGTGTTTGCATTGAAAAACATGAACATGTTGATATGCCATCATAACTACCAATACTGCCTGTTAACAGTGTTGCATAAGTGCACAGACAAAACAGAACAATATGTATTTACAGGTAACTGAACTCACCTGTCCTGGCCGGTGTCATCCAATCATTCGAGGGGCCTGCGAAGGATGAACAAGCTGCTGCGTTCACTGAGTGAGTGAAAATTAACTCTGAGGACTGAATGCTGTTTCGTGTCTCACCTGGCAGGTAAAAAGGTGAGTGCAGCTGTCTATCAACTGAAGCATGCCCTGTTGAGACATGAAGACACACCCACTTATTAGAGAGAGAGAGAGAGAGAGAGAGAGAGAGAGAGCTACACTCCACATACAGGAGGTTTCTGTCTATCCAGATCTTTATCAACATGTAAATCCTGCTGAGAGAGAAAATAAAAACATGTGTGTTCTCCACACTCTTTGATATAAAGGAAAAAGCTCCAGTCTTCTTTAACCAATGCATTGCATGTTCTCTCTCTCTCTCTCTCTCTCTCTCTCTCTCTCTCTCTGTCAGCCTGCATGATGAAGCCTGGGGCGCATCTTCAGGAAAAACCGGTAGAGGTGGTCAGATAACTATTTTGTCAGACCTTAAACTGATCCAACCCTTCACAGAGGGAAGCTCTGTATGTAGGAAAATGAAAAGAATCTGCCATCTAATACAGCCTGCAAGTTATTCAAACACACCACATTTAGCTTTTTTAATCTGATCACTTTATACACTAATACTCTCTTTCTGTGTCAGGTATTATTCTTACACTGAAAGGGTTGCATCAGCAGAGTTGCAACACCTTCACCCACACTGTCTTCTCCAAATCAGTAACAACCGAGGATTTTACGCAAAAGAGGAACTCAAATCCATCCACCTTGCATATGCAGGAGAGAGCTAGTCCAACATGAGTCTGCACAGGATACATTTAATCAATTCATATCACTTGAGATTATTAGATCAGACTATAGTATCAAACAAATATGAGAGATCATATTTTGCTCATATTTGTGTACATATGCATAATAGCCATGTTATCTATTCACACTTTTATTTACACTGGCTCAAACCTCCTGTTTGAGCCTCATTAAGTGAAGAAAGACACTCTCATGGCCGCTGAGGAGTGTCTGTCATATTTGAAAGGTTTTGGAGCTCCTGAATGCTGGCTTGTGGACAAAAGCAAACATTCTCATGTGAGGTGTAAAAAATTAAGCAGACCGTTTGGCCTGAGGCATTAGGTTGCTGTGCCTGATGCAGGAATGACATCGGACTGGTTTTTAGCACCACCTAGGCCCATCTGTGCAGGGAGTCACCCTTGTACGCATGCCAAGGCAATTCTCGGGCGCTTTGTTTAAGCTTGCACAAAAGGTACTACTGAATTTATTTTAGGATATTGTTCGACTGGTACAGTTTCATTTACAAGATGAAGCACTAATATAGGAATGTTACATTGACTTTTGTACAACAGTTTGCTTGACTTTCGGTCATCTACAGTGGGCACATGTGTGCTAGTAATATAAGCCTTTTTCACAACTGACATTTTGTCACATGTAACAGGAGGAAAAGCACATCTGTAAATAATAAATATTAACAATGGCTAAATTGCATTTAGCTGCTTCAGTTTCACAGCCCCGGCATTGTTCATGATATCTCATAAATTAGAGCCATTGTCAACACCTGAGTTGACCTATGACCTAAGTAAAATGTTCTGCTGTAAAATAAGCCTGTTTGGATGCATCGGCCTGGATAGGCTTCTAGATGACAGAAGCACGTTCTGGGTCCTTTTTATTTATGTATCTATTATGTATGCTCCATTGTGTTCAGCAGCATTCACTCCTGACCTTAGAGGGTCCTAAGGAGGAGATATATTGCAGTGAGTGATTAAAACAGTGGTCTCTTTTTAAAAATCTTCCATCCACTAGGGGCAGCCTTTACATGTTGCATTGACTTTAAAGGGAAATCCCTCTCTCTCTGTCAGAATGAATCATTATTTTGGTGCCTTCTGCTCACATAGTTTATTTTCTACCATAAAAGTAATTAAGAAGATTGCCTACCCTAGTTTGTATTTTCAATATGACCATTGGGTGGCACTAATCCTAATTAAGGCCTAATCATATGATATCAATGTAAGAGTGGTAATGAAATAATGCAACTATAATATTTAAAAGAACTTAAAATAAAATATTATGTATGAGAGTCAAAGCCTTTCTGAGTCAATTGGTTCTGTGCCAGCAGTTCCACATTTGGGTATTTGATGGTTTCACATTTATTAAATGACTTTGTGTCTGTATAGCAGTTTAGTATTTCAGTATAAGTATTGCAAAGAACAATAGACCACCACCACATGTAAATATGATTTAATACATTATACAAATATAAATTATATAAATTGCCCTGTGATTACAGCTAAATTTTTTGTGATTTCAAAGTGATTTGGGCTTCAAACCTGCAGGTTGGTACATAACTGAGTTGTTATATGTGAACAGTAATGGAGCAGGTGTAAAGAAAACACTGGGATGAAAACTATAAACTACCAGTACAGAGACACTGCAGTCAGCGTCAAGGAGAGTAACAGGTGTCTCAGGGTGTCTACAGACACACCTTGGTTGTTCTGCTCTGACCAGCCACTAGATGGCATCTTCCTCACACATTTTCCAAGGTGCATGTTCAGCACTTTGCTAGTTATGAAGTGTTTGAGCTTTGCTTTGTTTGTTTGGTCAGTATTTGAGGAGCTTATTGACTTATTCATTATGTTGTAGCATTAGCGGGCGTTGGCTGTTGTCCCCTGTGAGAAATTGTATGTGTTTTTGTGCAGTGTAAAACTGCCCAATCACTGAGACATTAAAGGAAGGCACGAGACTTTAACCTACTTTCGATTCCATCCCCTACTACTAACTCCCCTCTAATTAACTCCAATGACTCAAAGTTATTCCCAGAACTGAGATCATACTGTAGCTCCTCCCCAATGTTTGTTTCCTCCTTTTATGTGATGATAGCGAGCATTATTTAGGCGACACTTGCAGGAAGCCATGCTTAGACTGCCAACTGTCAAAACTTTTCCTATTTCCCAAGTAATTTTAACAGTGAATTATGATAATAACCTGCACTTACTGTAAATAATCAGTTGACTGATGTGCTACTTTCCAAGAAACCTGTCAATTCAACTGGTGTTGACTGTCTTGCGAACCCATTAGAGTTGTCACCATACCAGAATTTTAAACTTCGATACAACTAGTATAAAAACACGACCTCTTTTCATAACATGATAAAATAATAAAAAATAATTCTAAGCACACAAAATATGATAATTTATTTCAACATGCAGACAGCCCTGAACACATATTGAAGACCAGTTGATTTTCTTCCCTGTTGTTTCAGTGTCATCAGTGTCCTTGGATTGAAAATCTGATTGTAGGTCTGTTTTAATAGCTTCT